ATTTTGGTTTCCACTTCCGGTTAGTCATGGCGGAGAATGGTACTGTGAAGTAAGAAAAGAAGGAAGATTGTTAAGAATAAAAGAAACATATGGTGTTGGTTTTTTCTTCCTTTCTTTTCCTTATTGATAAAGGCTATTTTGAGAAAATGTACTCTTAATGTATAAATATTCACCCATACATGTAATTTTATATAACAAAAAAAGGAAAGATAAGAAAGCCTTTCACTCATTTTATAACTTATTAATTACAAGCAGCTTAAAAAAAAAGAAAAAAAAATATCGGCGATGAATTAAAAGAGAGATTTATGTGTTTGCTAAAAAAAAAAATTGAGATCTCAAGGGTACAAATATTCTCTCACTCTCTCTATTTCTCTCTCTGGTTGCATTATTATTATTTAATAAACATGTTAGTTCTTCAAGGACACTCTTGGTGATGCGAAGATTTCTAAGAAAACGGATTCTTTCCTTTTATTCTCTTTTAATTAGTCAGTAAATCATTAATTGAACGTTCATCGACCGGGTTTCACTAGAAAAAGACTTCCCAGAATCTAAAAGATCAGGGGATGGTGTTTGATTGAGTTTGACAAATATTAAACATTGATGAATTCGCAATTCTCCCCATGACTTATTGCAAACATTCATTTGTCGCTCCTTGTCAGGTATAACGTCTTTAAGCACTATTAAGCTCCATCGTGAGTGTACGTCTCCTTTTAGTTCCGAAGGCCCTAGAGAATTTAATCAAGAACTTTCCACTCAATGCCGGAAGATGCAGCGTTTTAGATCGACAATTAAATATTTATTTTCTTACGGTAAATAGTAATTTTCTCGTCTGCATCAATCACCATTGTAGAAAAAGCTCATTCCACGTTCTATGAAATATTGCTAAAGACGTGCAGGTAAAAATGATTAATAATAGATAGCTCGTTTATCTTGCCTTCCTTTCCTATAGAATTGTTTTTTGTCATCCCCAAAGGGATTTCAAGTAAAGAATCTTGGAGGAAGTGTCATAATTTTGAACGATAGTATCATTCCGCGTGGAAACGTTTGCACCAAGACCGTCGTTGAGGCTTATGTGCCCTATGGTCGTCGGTAATACCTTTATTTGCGGTTCTTAAGTTAAGTTTATAAATAGCGTATCTTCTCCGTCCACTTGCAAGACAAAACACGTGAAATCAGTCTAAATATGTCAAAAAGAATATGTATTTGTTTTCTGATCTTTAATTTGAAGATTAAAACATGATGAATTTACTATCAACTTTTTTTTACAATAGAAACTGCACTTCTGAAAATGATTTCATTAAAAAGATGCAGGCGCGGATCCAGGAATTTTTTCCGGGGGGGGGGGGGGGCACAGTCAAAAAATTTCTAACCCAGACATTTCTTCACAAGCAAAATTAAAAAAAAAACTCAAATCCATTCCCGTACGAAAAAAAACTAGTTCGTGATGGTTGTGGTGGTGGTGGGGTCCACGTTTTCTAGGGGGGGGGGGTGTCAAAAGTCATTTTTTTATTTGATTCAGTATATGCTTTTTAAAAATAACTTTGCAAATTCTAGAGGGTGTCCGGACCCCCCGCCCCCCTCTAGATCCGCGCATGGAGATGGCGAAAAAGTACACCATGATGTTGGATTAACTTTTAATTACAACAAAAATATGTGTACCAATCTAACATGGTACATGTAGTTCACACTTCGCTATAAAATCAGATATTAACAACAACTTTTTTTAACACTTTAGAACTTCGTCCTGAAATTAATAAATAACAAGGAAAACACGAGAATGAATTAACAATTCATCACTTGATATAATATTCAAGAAATTGTTATTACGTATATTAGATATTGTATTCTATTTATCGACGACAACATCGCGAAATTTTTCTTTGACACGGAGAATTCTGCATGTGATTAATCAAATATAAGCCTACGTTGGTGACACTCCAGAGAAATATAATTTAGCGACTTCTGTAGACCATAAGCTTAAAAATCTTGCTCATATATTCCTCTTTACATTAATTTTTCGACCATAGATCATGTTTTACACCTTTTTTAAAGCATTAAACCAGGATGGAAAAGGACAGTAACTAAACCCGAGAAAATTTAATTTCTAAGAAAAAAATAACCACCTTATTTTATTTGCGTGTTGTCAGTGTCAATATTGTTAACATTAGACTAGAATTTCTCAAATTAGCTATTTAATAAAATTCAAACCAGTGTTTTATTGAGAAGTTTGAAATCGGATTTTATACGACCAAGAATTGTGAGCTTTAGGTAGTCCGATCCCCAGGTTCCGAAAATCAGCAGTTAATTAAGTAATTGAAAATGTCTCTGAATTCACAAAGTAATGTGTTTTTACCCATGGCATTTCTTCAAATTCATCATATTATATAGGGAAAATTATCAAAACTCAAATAAAAGCACCAGATATGCATTCTCTAATTAGACATTGATCAACAAATACATGTATATTTTACAATAAAAAAAGGTATCAAGACAATTGGAGAAAATTGCATGTTTAATACTTACATGTATATGGTATTTTAGCTCCTCTACTTACTTCAAATTGTTATATAATACATTCTGCAAAAAGCTTGAGCTATCATTGCAAGACATCATAGATAACTTTTAATTTCATGTCATGCTAGTAAGGATTAGTATCTAAGACTAGATCAAAAGAAATTCGATGTTTCTAAAAATGTATTTATTTTTGTACCCTTATGGGTACAAATTTCGACGTTTTACAAGTCCATCTCCAAAACCTCAAAGCACCTTGAATCATATTGTAATTGAAATACATGAAAATTGTTGCACGAAAAGATTTCAATTTCAACCTTCATTTTGAGACATTTTATATTAAATAATTTATGAGTTATCCTTTCTGGCTGAGGAGGGATATCCTTAAATAATTATCAAATGTAGTATATCTCATTCCACGCATGCGTAACATCTTATTTTTCTATCTTTAACAAATTCTTTATATGGCCTCATAAATATGTTACACCAGAGTGATGCTTGATCGCCTTACAATTATTTACTTGCTTTTATTCAGTGTTGAGAGAAAACCGTTCTCTCTATGATCTAATTATGAAGATCATCATTTATTTTCATTTTTCTCCTTTGCTTGTAAAGACCCCGATGGACAGAATTGCTTCTTCTCGCGCCATTTTGCACCTCGGACAGAAGCTGAATCACACATACTAGGTTCATATTTTTGCATCATTGAAAATCAATTTATAACTTTTTTTCAAGGAACACAAGAGACACTAGATATCAAATTAATTTTTAAATAAAATACCCCCTTGTGACGATTTAACTCTTAAAATAAAGGATAAAATTTAAGTTTCTTTAAAATGTGGAAGTATTCTTCTCCATTTATCTAATCTTGTATTTTAAAAAAATGTTTTAATCGTTAGCAAAAAAATTAATGGTACTGTTTTTAATGCTTGTTTTGCAAAGGAAGACATCAGGGAAATTCAAAGGACAAAAATAAATTACAAGGAGTGCGACCAATCGAGAAATAAGAATGAGTGATTTCTCAAAGCATATTGCACTAAAGGGTAATATCAGAATCCGATATTTGTCCTGTCCTTAACAATGATAATGCCATTAAAAGCATATGTTCTTAAGAAAACATCACTTAGGCCCGTGTTCCAATTAGTCTTCCTTGAAAGACCCTGTGTCAATAGTCGGCACTCGACGACAATCAGGGGCGCTTTAAGACGTATTAGGATCGGGGTAAGGGCCTTTGCTGAGGTTTTATGAGACAATAAATAAATGGGGTTTACAACAAGTAACACTCTGTTCGTCTTTGTCTCCTCTATGGTTTTCTATTTGCAATGTACTCAAGCTTACGAACTTAAAGACAACTCCTGACAGATGCAAGATAGGGGATGTCAGTGAATCTCACCTCTGAGCGCGCTCGCCTGTTTACCGAGAGGTGAAAACGTATTGGATTTGCTATAGATTTGGATGGGACAATTGTTTCCTATTCCTCTCAGTCCAAAGCTGTTGATATTGGGTCAGTTGTCAAAGCAATTTTCAAAGAAGGTAATCAAAAACTGAATCGCAAATTTAACATATCATGGACACTTCTGTGCCCGACATGATTGAATGATAAGGGTTTTGAATCATCGGAAGGTGTCCATACTTTTTAGAAAGCCACTGTCCACTTCTTGACAAGATCGTCATAAATTCAAGGACAGGTGCTATGTTCGACACAGACCTCTAATGACGCTCATTTTCAGGTCTGTTTTATGACGACCTGTGGTCAGGGTGCTGGATGAGATAGATCTCAAAATGATAAACTAGGGACAAAGCCTAGCTTGAGGTCTATTTTTCTTGGTCAGTGGCGTTACCGACGGACAATAGAATTTAATAATAGCCGGCAATATCTGATAAATATTTCTAATATAACGATTCTGTTTAACGAGCTTGAGACATGCGGAACGAAATTGTCATTTTTTTCTTTGGTCCATCTTTTCTATTTTATATTGTATTTTTAATTAAAGTTTGACCATTCTTTGAGTATCACCTGGTGCCCTTAAACTTTCAGTAGATTGTGTGACCAACAGTCCATGCAGGGATAGACATTGCTACAGCTAGACACAGCTATACAAGATCAAATTCCTGACGACATGTACTAAATCACCGAGGGAATCAAGTCTCCAGACAAAAACACTGAGAACAGACTAAAGTTAAAATTTTCAAATTAGCGTAACTTTTGAATTAATTTTAAAAATAAAAAATCATGGTGTCAAACATGCAATTTTTTAGATTATATTTTTATGAAATAAAAATCAGGAGATATATTCTAAATTTTGACTCAAGCCTATTCTCGGTTTACTGTCCAGAAAATAATTACACTCTGCTTATTGTCTGTAGTGACAAATCTTGTGTATGTCAGTACCTGGAAATATAGTTTTCCCTAGCAGTTATTCTTTATTTCCAGTATTTCCTCGAACGACGACACTCTCTCTCTCTCTGTCTAAGAATAAATAATCTGATTATTGGTCATAACAATTTATTGAATCTAATCTACAGCGAATACAAGAATACTTTAAAAGTTATGTCAACTTACAGCATCGCCATTTCCGGAAAAACTGTATATTTCCTGTTCATTGTCAATACTGGATAATTTAAAAATTTACAAGACAACCTTGCAGATTGATGATTTCAACATCATTAAAAGTACGTATACTATATACATTATTGGTACTTCCTCATCGATTAGAATTTACATGTAAATTTAGGAGCAGAAATATTCGAAAAGAAATGAAAAATGATTGGTTAATTTTCATGGTTAAGAAAAAAAAAACATGACAATGAAGCTGCCAATCAAAGAATAGTGATTGCACAAATATGATTTAAAAAACAAATGGGCAATAATCTCATGTTGCTAATTATTTGACTAGGTTTTGTAAAGTATCAAATCATTTTAAACTAAAAGTGTGAATCAAGTGCAAATACATTGAATCAAGGCATGTTGTAAAATAAAGCAGAGTAAAAGTCCGCAAATATAACTCGATCAGAACACAATCTTTTAGTCTATAAACAGATGCAGCATTTGTACATTTTTCTAAACACACTTATCATGCCAATCCATGCGAGTCGTGTATATACATGTAAAATTAAAACAAAAAAAAAAAGGTTTTGGAATCATTGCACAACACGGTAAAGGTGTAAAAATCAGTGGCCAGTACGTAGGGTTATATATTAACGATTTGATGGCGTTTATGACTAGAATGACAGCTTTTGAGCATTTCTTATATTAAAAAAGACAAAACATGTTGCTCTCAACACCGCCTTTTAATCAATACAGGAATGTTATTTGTTGTAATGCAGTTTAAAAAAATAAAACTGCTTTTTTTCATATGGATTATGCAAAGGGAATGTCAAAACAGATAATGGTGCTATTGCAAATGTCAAGTTTCTAAACTGACATACGAACAAAAACAATAAATTATAGCACTCAAACTAGACAAAACAACTGGTATATATGAACCTTCAAAATATTTCTTATGGAAATAAAAAAATAATATTGAATACAAGTGAGGAATATTGCACAAACAACAAAAGAAATTGTTGATTTGGAATTCCCAAAACATTTCACATATGTTGATTTACGAAATTGTTCTGTGCTCTTTGTTTACATGTCGCCTAGCTGGTCCATCCAGTTTGGCGATTTGAAATATTCTGGAAGACCGTCATCCATGCGAGCGATGATTTTGTAGATAGCTTTTTTCCAGGAAGGTTCAGAATCCTTGCAGGCGACGACAGACTTATAGAATTCCCTCAGGGTGGCCTGTATTACGAGTCTAAAGTTATCTGGCACCTGCAACAAAGGAAAAACACAGAAAATATAGAAATACAATACCAACTGGTTGTTATTTTTACGCAAAATACATCGCCCTACTCGAATGTCGGAATATGCCGTACAAGGCGGCTGTCTAAATGATTTTATATTTTAACACTGGAATAGGAGAAGTTAAGACGTCGGTGATCGCGTTCTGAAGACTTTGACGCTTGGTGGCAGATCAGGGAGCATGCATATTTAATTTCGTCTGGCAGATTTGTCTAAGAAATTGATTTACATTGGTAAGACATGTAGCGAGTGTAAGTTGACAAGGGAGCTTAAGGAAAAAAATCCCCAAAATCCACTGGATTCGTCCTAAAGGTAATTGGACACCCCCTGATTTATGAAGGTATCAATGAAAATTAGCAAAGACCACGCAAATTGTTCCCAGAAGGAAGGCAATAAAGAAAAGCATTAGAAGACACCGTTTCTCTGATTCCCACTGATCCCCAGCCTGTCAGATGTAAAATCAAGCCCCCCAAAATGATGAAATATTAAAAAGGGAGTGATGTAGCAAGAATTCATTAAATTGCTTCCTCGAACTATCTTTATTTTTGGTCCCAAGACGATAATGAAGCAAGCCAAAGTCAACGATCAAGATAGGAAAATGTGTTTTTCTCCATCACTAATAAATGAAGGACTTTAAAATTGTTGACAATGCTGCTTTATGCTGGTTGTATATTATATCATCATGAGTTATAATGAGATCATTTACAGCTGCTATTTGACAAATTTTCGCGACTGGTAGATTCTGGTCCCCCGGGCATTTTGCTATACTTGTTCGTATTATTTACTACAAATCGTCCTTACACAATTTATCTTAACGAAACCTTTCCCGTAGCTGCTTCATGTGTCCAATATGTAGGCCGAACAGACTTAATTATTCAATCAATCCTTAGAAATCTTTTTAATTTGAAATGAAAATTTACAAAAAATACCTCAAAGGAATTAAAACTTTGTCATTGATGCAGCATATACGGCTTAATTGTAAACTTTATGGATTGAAATGTTGACAATGGTATAAATATTTTTCAGTTTTCTTGTCCTTGTTTGCCTTAAGGCAACCAACCCATCGTCGTGTCAAGTGATGATCATTAAGCAATTGAAGACAAGCTGCTGCTGCTTCGTTCAGCAGCAACAGGTTCGCGGAAGATGGCAACTAATTAATTGAAAGCATCTAAATTTCACGATTGATAAGCCACTACCTTCTCACTTGCACGTGGTAAAGGAAACCGGGGCTTGATTTATCCCGCGACAAACTGTTACTTCTCAAACATTTTTTTCTAGAGATATTTATCAAAAATTTCCATATTTACAAGCATTTTCCCCCATTTTTAAGATATATAGAACTAGCTGATGAAGGCGAAGAACCTAATATAATGACCCGTGACCTTATACAAGTCGACCAAATAAGTCCAAGTACAGTACTTATTATATACATCAAGGTTTTCCCCGGGGAGATGGAAATTGCTTCTGCTGGTTGCAGTTTATTGACTTGTCTTGATGAATTACAAAAAAAAAACCCATACCGACTTCAATCCAATTAATTTATCTGTTGCAGTTTTCTTGAAAGAATTACAAAGCTACATTCAGAGTTAGGGACCTGATTGTAATCTGCCTTTTTAGAGTATTGTCTGAGAAATATCTCCTTTTCTATCTGACTGGTCCATGTTCAGTATCGAAGTGAGTCTCCCAAGGGCCATAGGAAATGCGGAAAATAAATGTTAGTGAGCTAAAAAGATGATCTTGGTGGTCGACACCGCAACACTTCTGGAGCACAAGACTTTCAAGTAGATTGAAAAGGCGGTCCCTTATGACAGTAGATAGCAACATTAATAAACTTGAAGTAAACAGGCATTAGTTAATTGTATCATCTTAGCAATAATTCGGATATTGATAAAGTTCCATTTGGTGATATGGAATTTCTTCCTAGAAGTTACAGACACGAAGAGGAGATGGCGATTTGGGAGTAATTTATCAATAATTAATGTGATATATCATAGTTATTTGAATACGATTGTCATCGCTTTCTATTACTCCATACAGGAGTATCCCCTTTCATTTTTAATCATAAGAGTATATACATCGAGCCTTTCTTCTTTCCGTGACCAGAATGTGATTTATACGACGTTTTCAGCTTTGTGTATTTTGGAGACTTTTCATAAGGGAATTTTATGCAAATAATAACACTTAATTTGATTAAAAAGAACTGTTGTTGAGAAGCCTGGCTTACTTAGACGTCGTCATCATCAAAACTCCCTATTAATTGTCTTGACAGAGTAATGATGTTTCTAAAAAGATCAAGACAGATAGCACTTCATAAAAAAATAGTCCACGACAACGCAAACCCGTTCTTTCTCATCTGTTAATTACACTAGAGGCAGAAGCAAATCACACGGATGACTTGGGGTTCCGTGTCTCAACTTCCAGAGAGACTTAGGGAGGGTGGAACCAGGACTAGATTGTTTTCACATATATTTACTCACGAAAGCATCCAATTAAGAGAGGGTCACTCAATTTTAGCCAAATTCACGATTGCAAATTACTGTTTGTTTGAATTTTTTTTCTTTCTCTGATCAATAATATATGAAATCTGTAGATTTTAAAATGATTTCTGGTGCCAATTTCTAGAATATTCTTTTGAAATACACAAGGAAGAAAACACATTTGCTGGGATTGCTTGTGTGCCGAAGAGACGCTTTCATTTGCAGTGTTTGTAAGAGGTTTGGCTTTGATTTCCTCCTATTATAATGCTGGTACGTTTGGTAAATTTAGATGAAAGAAGGAAAAGATGAATCCAGCAGTGTTGTAAACACAAGATTCAAAATAAACTAACCTCTATTTGGTTGTTCCGATTGTAGTGGAGGTTTAGTACTCGGTACAGCTCGGACTCTGTCGTGACTACAAGGTCATCAACAGACTTGCACCCTTCTGCAATGGCTTGTCGGGCATATTTCTCCATTTGAATATAGAAGAATTCCCTATAAAAAAAAAACATCATTATATGTAAAAAAAAAATTATAAAATGTATAACATGTGTATTTTCTTTTATCATATGTTAAATGCATTACATGTTTGATGTAACAGTTAGACTACTTTAAACATCGCTTCCCTATAAGCCTTGCATATTACATGTGCAAGTACTACTTGTCACCAATCACTTCGATTTTTTAATTTCAAGATTATATCTGGAATCTTACGATTTCTAAATTTGTCGGTAATTTTGAAAAGGTCAGACAAAACTTTACAATCTATTTAAAGTCTGAGGATTCATTGTAATTAAGATTACTTAATAAACACTTAAAGTAACTCGCACAGACTGTCATCAAAGCCTCATCACTTCCCGAACTGTAATTTCATTAAAGTCTTCTCATCTCAAATATCTATATTTGTGTTCATAATCAGAATAACTTCCTCTTCTATACAGATGAGGACAAAATTCAATTTTCAAAGAAAGTGTGCCAGAAAGTATCAAGGCATCCAGGATCTATTTTCAATTGAACTTTCTGAAATTAGTGTTCCCACGACAGAGAAGGATGGAAGTTTGCCCTGATCAAATAGACTTTCAACATCCGCCTCTTTCCCACAAGAACAGTAGATTACTAGAAATGATTTCTGTAATTTATTTTAAGTTATTCATATGAATAAGGTTATTTAAAAAAGTGGGGCATCAAGGCAAAAATTCAGTGAAAAACGTGACATAGATGAAAAAAAAAATACATATATATAGGGTAATTTACTAAATACAGAAGATGTTTCCTTCCTTAGTAAATTTTAAAAAAACAAATCCAATTTCAAATCAACATCATCCTTAAGAATATGAGTCCGAAACTCTATATCCCTGAAGCTATGTCTTCTAATTTCTCCCGTCTATAGAAAGTGTTCCTATTTTATTAATATCGTATCGTTCAACTATGTTTCTTGACACAACATGAAACGGAAGAATTTCAAGCACGGAGCCAAATTAAAGGAAAATTAGACTTCTTAGGAACATATCCATGTCATCCCAATGAGTAATATCGCCCTAAATACCTGGATTGGAGTTCTAAAACGTCTTAATTAGTTTTAAGTGTCTTTGTACACAATGAGAGAAATTAGCTTAGAATTGAGGACGTTTCTTGTAGTCGCTGTAATACGGCTAATAATGGGGGAGTCTTATCATACCATCGCAAACATTAGGTATACGACAGTCCCCTCACTGCGTCTTTATGTCCAGGGAGGGGCATTTATCCATAACTATATGGATTATTTAAAAAAAGCGAACAATCTTGCACAGTTTACAAAACGTCTACGAATATAAAAAAAATCCCGACTGGTCAATTTTGGGGGGAGAAAATGCGGGGAGGTATTAGACACGTGTAATGACTAACGCATCATCAATATTCTTTATTTGTATTGCCTTATACTATTGACTAAAGACTGTTGACATAACAAATTAAAGACGGAATTCTGTCGAGTAAATTAGTTGGAAATAGTTGTATCCACGTCAAATCTCCCCCCAATTTGACAGAAAGTCAACAAACTCCACCAATTTATCCCAAATTTATGAGAGTTTATTTTCTCATTTTCCTTTTCTTCGAGATATTTGTCATTTAGCTAATCTCATCTCCTAGAAATTCTAATAGAATCAAGAAAGTTTAGATTAGATTTATTGACAAATCTTTTCTTATAAGACTGCAAAACGGGGAGAGTATTGAAAGAAATTATCGCTTTTGAAAAAAGCCATTGAAAAGCATCTGTTCGAACAAATTAAATGAGCGGAAGATTTTTGAAAAACTATTGATTTATATATTTGTTCATATGTAATTTTAAAATCAGAAGAACTTGCTGCCATTTGGAAAAGTGGATGATGCGAGCAGCATTAATAAGGTACACGAATTATCAATCAAAAAGTCATAAGAGTCAAATTTTCCTCGCAGAAATATCGTTTTGTCATTTTCTCCGCCTAAAGACAACTCTCTTTTACCAGAAAATTGACGGGCACTTGTGGATAATTACAGAGCACTGGATATCAAGTCCGTATTTGACGGTCGTTACACGGGTTTGTGTGTTTGGCAGCTGTCGTGAAAGGGGGCTTCAACTAAACTCAGTAAACGGTACTTTGAACTATTTAATTTGTAATTAAAAAATCAAAACAAAAACAAAAAAATCAAGGTGAAATGAAAATAAATAAACAAACAGGCAAGACATTGAGGGAAAATCTCAAATATGGGCACTTTTAGTTGCGAGGTTATGAGAAGTAAATTTTATATTAATTGTATTTCATTAATTAGTGCAGGGTTATATTTGCTAGGTTTCTTATTAGAAGCTTCTTAATGTTTTTGTACTTCTCCGTATAGAATATCCTATTCTTCTTTCAGTGCTACTCAATGTAATTAATTTTCTGGTATAAATCATATTTCCTATTATTAACGAAGTGTTTGGTGATGAATTTTCAGGGCGCGTTGGTGTTCGTTCGTTTCTCCAGAGACTTCGACCAATCTGGTGTTCCCCTCCCTTTTTCATCTCATGGAACAACATTTCGAATATACACTTACAAACTCCTAGAACGAGATATTCTTAGGTGATTAATGCATTCCATGCGCATTTTTCTGCGCAACGCCACTAAGGGGGGAAAAAGGAAACGGAATACAGTGGGTCTAAAAACAGTTTGGACTAATTACGTAAATCTGGTGCATGAAATTGGAATTCTGAACAATATACAAACAAAGAACACCCAATAAAACAATTAATCTTATATGGACTTCTTCAATAAAGTGTAAATTTCTTTTTTCCTCCACACAAAAAGTAGATCTACGACAGTCTCTGTCAAACAAAGAAAATATCAATTTCCGTCAACACCTGTCGATGAATCTCATGATACCCTTACCAAGGTAACAAATTTAATTTACACTTATACATTTCTTTCAGTTATGAAGAAAATTAATATCTTATTAATATCCGTGTTTGAGACCTGTTGACATTTCGATGTTGATAAGGAATTTCGTCAATATCTTGATCATCAGTAAGTGTTAGGGGGAAAGTCATTCTTTTTTATGAATAAAACTGCTAATAACATCATGTAAATTTTTTTCTATGATTTTTTTACGCAAACGAAATGAATATATATTATTTAATAAAATATAGGAATGACATGTGTTTCATTTTTTTAAAAATACTTCAAGAAGACCTTTTTCTTCTGTACCACACAATGAATGATTTGAATTTCATCTGTTTACAATTGAACTGAGATTACAAAAATGTTAAATATTTTTAAAAGAATGCCAAATAAAAATGTTAAAAATTCTTTTAAAATAAAATAAAAAGCTCTAAGTGGAACATATGTAAAGCGTATAATTTATGCATAATTGATATCTCTTGACCAATGAAAATTTTCGACGGGTATATATAAATTTTTAATACCTTTGTTGATATTATATTATCCCAGAAAATATAAAGGAAACTTTGCTTGCATGAGATAGCATTAATTTTCATATTTAGTAAAAATTCACTCAAAAATCGAAAACTTTTTCTCCAACAGGTACATGATTTTAGACTTTTACATATTTAGTCAAAATGTACTCCTTCCCCGAACAGGTACAATGCTATTGGGCTATTAGTGCTACCAACGATTAGTATCTTGATTATATTGCCATCAACACTTTTAATACCAGAAGCATTGCAGCCCAAGTACTTCCTAATTCTTATTTTATATCCCATCAAACTATAAAAAAAATTGCTAACCGTCATCGCTGGTGTTATTCTATTTCTATTTGACTACTTAATTTGACAGACATAATTTACTGATGATTTGTCAAATCTCAAAATGCACAATTTCCTTGAGAGCCTCGTCAATTTTCCTCTCCATGAACTGCTTTAATAATATAATATGGAAACGGTGATCCCTCGGAATTGCCCTAATTGTTCAATTTCTCAAAAGGTTACAAGACTGGTAGCTCTCCAACATGGGGCAGCCATAAGCAGATGGGCGAGATGGAGTAATGATCCTATTAAGACAAAAGCCGCCCTGTGTAAGTAGTCGACATCATTTTCTAAATGTCACAAGATAACATTTTGTGAAAGATTGGAAATCTCTTTTCCCATAGATTTCGAATATACAAATGACGCATAAATGCTTCAACCTCTGTTTGAATTTACATTATACTAACATCCACCATTTTTCTGCATTCGACTATTTTAGCTTGCAAGTAAATTCGAAATTAAAGCTAATTTGAGAAGACTTTTCGTGCAAGGACATTTTCACCAACAAAAAGATCCCCGTGAAAATCTACACCGCACCTCACAGCTGCCAGGGTTAAACATTACCCAAAAGATGTTTACTTGAGTCACGTGATATCTTTAAGGCCTTACATATGCTAGATCGAAATACAGTTAATAACAAAGTTTAAGAATCTTTAACGCCAAAGCCCGATATGGTTTTTATTACCCTTTAAACTCTCTGTTTTCCATTTGATTTCACACCCTTGCTGTTGTAAAATATTTTTCAGATGAAAAAATGGCGGCTATAATTGGACTGGGTACCTACACCAGTAAATTAAGTCTCCTGTCATCAAGATTTCTTGAGTGTTATATTTTTATACGGCAGGTGTTCGTGGATCCGTTCTTATAAATACAATAATTTTGATTAATATGGACAAATCAACGTAGAGCCTGATATATTCTTGTTTGCATAGACGGAGGGAATACGAAAGGGCTAATTTATCACACCAGCCAAGAAAAATAAATCCTTTGTTTCGAGAGTCTGGCTAGAGTGGGAATAAATTTTTGTTTTCATCACTCGAATATTAATTTCCTGTGGTTATTATCTTGAGATAAAATGACACTAGGAAGGAAAAGAACTAAGAACGCGTAAACTAAATGTTGAAGTGTAGACCCTCCCCCCATCCTGTGTTATACAGAAGTTACGTAAGAGGAGTAAAAATGTAGAGGTCATCTAAAAAGATGATACATGTAGATGTATTTTGTCTTATCTACGTCGAGACAGTGTTTCATGCTTCGGAAATGCTCATTATCTATGTGAAAAAGAAAGAAAGAAGAATGCAGAAAGTGCATGATCATTTAAAACAATCTACATTTGCATTTCCAAACAACTTTCTTACTACTAAAACCCCTATCATTTTATCGGTTATTTTTTTTAAAGGTGGTGAAAAAAAATGCATCAATGTAAACTTCTCGCCCACACGCAACCGTCGAATTTTAGAACGATTAGAACTTTTGTAGGTGCAACACAAAAATTGTGGTATACCATTTCGTCTTCGATTTTCTGCTCAACAAATTGAGTATCTGTAGAAAATTCTTCCACAAAAGCAAACAAAAGACCACTTCGTTTCCATCCATTTCAAATATTGACAGTGCAACGATTAAGATAGTTGATATACAACACAATGCATGATTTATGACGACTTTCAGAGTTTCAAACAACAATGGCACTTCCAGGACAGTGGGGTATATTCGGTTACCGAATACATCAAAGATACATTGACCAATATGTGAACAGGGAAATGGAATTCATTAGAACGCCTTGCAATTATAACCATTGCTTGTAATTGGGTTTTTGTCCTTCTTCATTTTAAAGAATGTAGCATCACTTTAGGAGATAAAAGGAGAACTAGCAGGTAAAAAAAATCAACCAACTTAATGGTATTAAAACCGTGTTTTTCTGATAATATCAACTGTGGAGAAATCTATAGAACAAACAGATGCCAATCGATTTAGAATTACATTAAAGTTTGTTTAAACGAAAATATCTGTTTGAAGACGGAATATTTCAAATGTCCGGAAACAGTCGTGAGGGAAGCATTTATTCAATATTTGCAGAAGATGAGAAGATTTTATCTCCATGGTTGTGTCATCTTCTTTTTTAACCCTCACTTTACATTTCTCTGATTGCAGAGAAAGTCGTGATGCATATTACTCATCGAAATACTTTCAAGTTTAATATAAAGAAGTGACAATGAGTTATTTTTTTAGTGCATGATTCCTTTAGATTAAATAAATGAAGTAATTGCAAGAAGGTAAATTGAGGTGTAATTTTTTTCAGCTCAGTAAAAAAGAAAGAAAAAAACCCAAAACAAAACCAAAATCCCCCCCCCCCAAAAAAAATAATGATAAATAAATAAATTAAAAAAAAATACTAAAATCAAAATTTCGAAACTTACCGGAAATTGCTGAACCATTTGACGAGTTGTGCAGTGTTGTTCTTGTTGAACTTGACATCCGGGAAGTACACTTTCAAAATGGCGGAGCTTGGGTATCGGACGTAAAAGAACATCAGTTTGGCCTTCCTCAGATGCATAGGAGTCAATGTACTAGTGTAAGATGGTTAAGGTCATAATACATAAAGAGTTTTTTCTTTTTTTCAATTATACACCTTTTTATATATGTTACTAAAAATAAAATTTCAATAAATAAAAACCAAATCTTAAAAGAAGTGATCCCCAAAAATCAATATATATATATATATATATATATATATATATATATATATATATATATATATATATATATATATCAGGTACAGTTGAAGATATTGTTTATATATAAGTTTATTATATTCTTACAAGATATCTGAGAGATTTCAGTTAAGTGAAAGAAAAAAATGGATAAAAAATATGACAATTATTAAATAATTGGAAATGTATAAGAATCGTTTAGTGGAATAGAGTAATTTTTTTTTTCAAGTGGAAAGGATGAATTGAAAATGCATAAGAAAATAAAACCACAATTAAATGAACAAATATTTGTGTATAAATTTAATTGTCTCTAATGTTTCCATGGCTACATCACCAGGAAAAATTTGACTAGAGAAGTACCAAGTCAGAAACTTGAATGAGAAACTAAGGAGAAAAGTTCTTACGTTATATTCTTTGTAAGAAATTATAAGTTGAAAAGGAAAATACGACTCAGGTTTTCATGATTATCAATTTCAGGGTTTCTAGAGGAAAATAAATATGCACAAAAATTATCTTATTGGAATAAAACTAGCAGAAATGTAGGTAATTATTTGTAAATAACTTAATTATATGAAAATATTAACGATATTATCCTTGAATTTAATGTACCAAAATCTAGAAAAGTTCAATGACTTTTGAATGGTTTTAGCACCTTTCAATATTAGAAACCAAAAAAAAAAATCTCCCGTTTTCTGCTTGAAAGCATCATAAATTGTGCTAACTTTTGGAAGGCGCCCGTCGGCTTATATTTTCGTTTTGGTGACGGCTATATTACGATACCGTTCTAGAGAATTTTCTTTATTCCTGAAGATTATTGTTGGTGGTAATGTTCTAGGCTCCAAAACCCTTCCTGTATCAATGCTTTCATTTAGCTTTACAGGCTGTGGATTCTAATTACTTTCAAATATTTTACAATTGAACGACGTTTAAACTGTTAAAAATTTGACTTTAACGCGCCATTACTCGTGGTCCGTTGTCTGAAATTAAGTAATGTTACTCACATGATAAAACTTTCTATTTATTGATTTATTTTAGTGAGTATTTTGTTTTTGAAATTGTAACTAGGGCTAATAAAGCCTTTAATAAAAGGTCGTTTCTCTACGAGAAAAACATCATCGTCATCAGATTAAACATTTCGGATACTATTATTAAGTGATAAAAAATCAGAGAAAAATTAAACTTAACGATTCTATCAAAGAAAAGAAATTATTTCTTCCTCGGGACTTTTTTTCTTTGCTTGAAAAGAAAGCGCAGATTTCGAAATTTCTGATTTACAAACCCAATTCTACTTTACCGCAAAATATTGTCAAACGATGAACATGCATGCGACCAACGTTATTATTGAAATTATACTTCCTCGACAAAATCTAATTTTCGTAATAGCAATCATTGTTCATAAAAAAAAAACTGTCTTTGATTCCCTGGTTCTTCCAACTACTTCTCTGATTTTGTGTAAAGAAACTCAATTAGAAAACGATGTTTGGTTCGGTATCGCCCCCTTGGGAGTTTCCAGTTTCTAAGAACATTTTCAATGTTATATTTTTCCACTTTTCCTAATGTGAATCGGTCCGTCTTTAATTAATATTTAATAATACAGAAAGCACTTCAGGGAAAGAATGCAATCAATTGTGCAATTAACGATCGGAAAAATACTTTTGAAAAGTTTTCCGGTAATTCAAAATGATCATCTCTGACTTATGAAAATCGAGACGCTTAAGCAAAGGTCATAGATCTTTGGGTTGACATGAGAACATAGAAATCGCTGATGAGGCATCAAAAACTACTGCATACTTGCCAAAATGCAATATTTCTTAAGAGACAACATAAAGATCGCGTCTTCTTCACACTTGCTGTTATTTTGATGCACTTATAATTAATTTACTACGAAGCCAGACAAAACATTTGAGACACTATAACTTGGGTTGTGAAGTTGTTCGACACCTGTGCCAACCTTAGAAAATCTATATGTATTAACTAAAGGTATGTAATCATCTTAGAGGGCCTATATATCGGGGATCATTTCAACTTCACAAAGTCTGTTACGTTAGCACGCCGAATTTAAATGACACTTGAAGACAAAATGTTGCAGTAAAAAGAAGGCCTGCAGATATGTAACTGATCACGAATGAAGTAACAGGTGCACGCGGCCATTATCGTTTGTCAACCACGTGATCAAAGTTTAACTTTCGACTAAATTTTTCTGTCACTTCACTTGAATTTATCTCAAATTATGAATTTTATAATGGAAAATATTTATTTTTTTTCCCTTTCTAACGAAATTACTTCAACAGAGTAAAAGAAGAACCAACATCTTGGCCATCAATGGCGTTGTTTTGCTTTCCATTTCATCGCCTGTCTCGTTTGCAAATCACATGCCCATGTATTTGGCTAAAGATTTACTTTCCCATATTCAGTAGAATTATTTAGGTATCTGACATACAGTTATTTTGATTTATTCTGATCTAAAGCGACATTTTGTTTTGTCACCTACCAGCTGCACAGGCATCGTGTTAACCTTTACAGGAATTTAGCTTGAGAATGGTATGATAACATACTGATGAACGCAATTCGGGTTATTCCTCCATTTAGAAAATATGGACAACATATACCTATTCTTCTGACACTCATTTTTCAGCGCCGATGTTTCTGGCATTGTGTCATGCCCAATTTGCTCGTTAGAATGTCATGTAACGCACGTGCTGGGACACAAGTATTCGAACTCTGGACATGTTTAAAAAAATGAATGAATAATCAGCAGAGAATTTTAATTGATTTACATCCCTGGTAAAATCTTTGCCGCTTCTTTTCAATGCCGACTAGAAGCAAAGTTAGCGGTGATCCGGTTCTTTTCAACGCTTGACTAGAAGCAAAGTTAGCGGTGATCTTTTAAAGCTTTTAAGTGTTATTATTAATTATTGATTATTGTTTTCAATAAAAGTAAATTGGCAATATTTTTGCTGTAAAGAACAAGACATAAAATGTCAGTTTTTCTACTTTTACGTAAGGCGGCTTTCATTTTTTTCTGCAACAATGAAAAGAACACATTTTGTATTCCCTACTGCGAATAGCTTTCTGTGTAAAGGTTCATTAGATGTAGAAAAGACATGAAGAAATCATCCTTAGGGATAATCAATATGGCCATGTCTTAATCACTTGCATTTATAGAAGACAATAAATGTTGATCAAGAATGGAAAATATTTTACTTTAGTAATCTTTCAGACAAGAGGGGTTTCTATTCCCGGCGACCATTTGATCGTATAATACAGCTGCAGGTCGCGCACTGCGCATTGCTGCCTCCATATCTCTCGCTTCGACGATAAAAAAAAAAGTCCCATCATCAATTGAGACAAAAGGCGTTTTACGGGAAAATAAAATTGCATGTTTCCCCTCTATGAAATTTTAATCAACTTTCATTAGAAAAGAAATTCAAAAGAACCGTCCTAAAAGCGAAATCAAACACGTGTTTAAGATTAAAATCGCCGTAGAAAAAAAGGTTTTCAACGCATGCGTGACCGTTGGCCAAGTCCATTATAAGGTTTATCCCAGTCATAGAATATGATACTTTTTTCAAGAAAGGTTCTTTTGAAATGCATATAAAATTTTAAAAAGTCTTTTTTTTATCAGTTTGTTAGAAATATTTCATATTCTGTTTTTTACGTAAAAGTTATATTAATATTTCATATTCTGTTTTTTACGTAAAAGTTATATTATCTTTTGACTCTGTCTCTAGAAATTCTAAATTTATTTGGAAAATAAACGAAGAAATTAATAACTAACGGAAAAAAAAAATTAAAAAAAAAAATTCCTTTTTAATGATTTAAATATGTCAAAGATTATGTAAATTTTCTTTTATTCTACATTAAAACAATTTAAATGTCACATAGATTTCACCTCTGTATTTATGGGCTATCTTCGGGTTCAGATAGAATTCTGAAAATACTTTTAAAAATTAAAAAAAGACTCTATTATCTTCTTGTATCTTACTCAGGTAAATTAAAAGCGACACTAGGGGGAAAGAAATCTAGAATAACAAAAGAATAATACGGTTGGTTGTTTCCTGCAGAGAAAGAAATGAACATCCTTTGTTCCAACTCCAAAGAGCCAAAGACGTCATACAATTCTGCCATTAAAGGAAAGACCAGGAAAGTTACATATGTGAAGATTTCCAATTAACGAATGCAGTCAAGTAAAGCTAGTCTTATCACCGAGAATATCTAAATGCCTACGCCGATTCACCTCGGCTTTAACTCCAAATTACGAGGAGTCTTTTCCTTTTCTTTCTCTAAATTATTAATAAATGTCTTGTTTCCATGAAAGGGCGAAATAAAACACCGGGGACAATAAAGCTTCTTATGATCAACAATGCCTCATTTGTTTCATTTAATGCCAAGATATCTGGCTTTTTACAAGTGTATGTCGTTGACTATGTTGATTGCTAGACACATTTGTGGAAATCTTAATGTATTTTTCTTGTAGCAGGCTAATCTATAGAAAGACCTGCTGATAGAAACAGATTAAAAAGAAGATTATTAAAAGGAACTTGACGAGAAAATATCCAAAGATCACAGAAATAATGGCTAAGGTGCACCGCTAATCAGCTTAAAAGGAACTTTACATTGCGTAACGTGCCAACCGGACCCGCTATCTCTTAAGGGTAACTGTTACTAAATATATCTATACCAATGGCCGTGGCTGATTTGGTGGTTTCTATTTAGAGTAGCAACTAACAAAGCACTCACTTGCACCAAAGCACATGCAAAAAGTTTTTGACCTTTTGCAATGACAGGTAGAAGATATTGATATGGAAATTAAGTTGGGACCAAAGAAGATAAGTATCTGAGAAACCAAGCATTATCCTTGTCTTTTTGCTCTCAGCTAGATATTATTCAGTTCAAAGATGACATAATTGGCCATAAAGCACTTATGAATTGACTTAGGATAAAGATGTTGTCAATGTTAATGAAATTTTATGCTTCTCGAACCCGATTATCGACCCTGCCATCATCCCACCTTTTGGATGGGATCTGAAAAGCCGTATAGAGGATACAATTATGATGGTTAAAAAATTCTAACTTTCTGCGATAAGAAACTGTCTTTATCACCTTTCATGGTTTTTCTAGCTGGGGGATATTCGACAGAGCCAAGGATGGTTCGATGATTGAGTGTGTGTGCCGCATCAAGTAGCGACAAGAGGCAAATTAAGCTCTGTGTAGAAGATGATAAGAAATTGGTTCTGTGACTTGACTGGGGTGAAAATTGTTCGGGTAATTATATGGATGAGGATGCACGCATAAATCTACATAATTGTTGATTGAGTATGAAACAATAGGAAATTCTTATTGTCTTCCAAAAGGATGGTATAATGTTAAAAGCTGCTATTTACTGCCGTATTTTGTCTCTTTAAAATGTCAAAGCTAAAGCCCGATTTACGCTGCGAAATCGGAGAGGGTAATAAAGATTTCAATAAATTTCAATAACGCCTGTTGAGTTAGATACATTTGTAAATGGTATTTAGTGATGAAATGGCTACGATTAGTGGGCCCATTAACATGAACAAGACATGCCAATAATCCACATTGAATACACTTAATCACATTATACATCCGATACATAAATAATGTAGATACATTCATGATGTAATAAATGCCACTGTACTTTTCTGAGAAAGAAGAAAATACAAACACAGAAAGAGAAATTCATTGTAAACTGATCTATATGGCGAGGTGTGTTGTACAATTGAAAAAAGAGAAATGAAATATTTATAATTTGATTTTTAAAAAAAAAGAATCATGTTCTAGGATGGGTATTTAAATTACGAATCGTATAGAATAACTTGTATAAATAACTGATCACTTACCCACTCCTGCAGTCTATTTTTTTGTATTTTTAGCTAAAAGGATATCATGTGCATACTTGAGTTATCATAGCTGTCTGAGCCGCTCTCCATGGACTCGAACTTCATCATTGTGTTAATGCTGTCCGCTGGGGATGGAGCCGTGCTTGGCGAGTAGTTTTCCCTATGCATCGGGGAGTGGTTCCTAGATAAGTCGCTAAATGGTGTATGGTCTCTATAGTAACTCATTAGAGTTGATTCCTGTAGACTGGGGTTTGGGATTGCTACACTGGTCGGAAGGACCGGTGGAATTAGAGTCGGGAACGAGGTTGGTGGATGGCGATCCATTTCGCCTGATGGGTTGAGGTGAATAGGGTCTTGGCCTAGTAAGGCACGAGCTGCACGAGGAGAGAGTCTAGTGTCTGTTACTTTGGTGCGTTTCTTTTTGGGGGTACTGGTACCGTTCACTACTAAAGGCAGAGCCTCAGTTTGTTCAGGCTCTGTGAGTGTGGGTGGTGCACAACTATACAAAGATGGCGGATGCATCATTTGTGACGGAAAGTAGGAAAACGGCAATGGAAAAGGCAGGGGATGGTGGGGTGGTCTGTGTAGATCCGGAGGTAAACCCCGAGGTGCATCGAAGGCACTGGCTTTTTCCAAAATCCTTGCCATACTTCCAATGTGATCATGCCGTAGATCGTGGAATGGATCCCTGAAAGGAGGCAGACCTGGATGTTGTTCGGGATGTTTCTGTCGCGTTTCTTCTTTTTGTTTTGCTTCTTTGATTGCCTCTTCCTCTTTTCTTTTCTTTTCGCGCTCTTTCTCTAGTAGTTTTGCAGATCTTTCCTCAATGAATTTTTGAACAATGTCATCAACAGTTTGATTAAGAATGTTAGACAGACCACTTTTTAATGAATTTGATAAATTTTCTATGTCAAGTTTTTGCAAGGGGATGTTCTGTTTATCACTTTTTTTATCACTGTCATGAGGAACTTTCGAGCCTGACAGAGATTCCAATATACTTGACTGGCTTTTCATTGCCTTTTCTGCACTTTGGAGTACTTTGCCATCCTTAAGTTTTGGAACATCAAGAATACTCCTGTCCGGAAAATTTCTCTCCACGAAGTAGTCTCTGCCACTACATCGCGTCTGGTTTTCTCCATCCTGTTCCTCATCGTAGAGTTCCACATAACGTTTCTGAACAAGGTGCAATTGTTGCTGTAATTTGACTAATTGATCTTGGAGAGCCATTCTTTCTTCCATTCGACGATATTTGGGACTAGAAGGGTCAGTCCAGTTGGGTTCATGTTGTGTGGGTTGATTCTGTTTGCGTTTTTGTCGACGAACTTCTTGAAGGGGAATCCCATTTTGGTCTCCTGATTCTCGAGAGGATGGGCGCATGTTGGACAGTATATTTTCCACTCGTGCGCGCTTAGCTTCTTTGCTGTCTTCGGGTCCAAAAAGTCCATTATCGCTGGCACTGTCACCATCGTATCTCGTGTCATTTCCGTCTAAATCGTCTCCATTTATCATTTGTTCTCCAGAGCTCCCGTAATCGCTCTCATCCCCGGAATCTGAGTTAAGAGAATTCCTGTCATCATCCTGTTGACTAAAGGAAGATATTATGTTTTTCATCATATGGCCCTCTGAATTTTTTCTTTCAAAATTTTCGGACAGTCGTGGTTCCTCGATATTGTTATTCTCCATTGCCTTCTCTTTGTTTTGCAGGATGTCTCTGAGAAGTTTGGAATCCTCTGATTGGTCGTTTTTGCCGTCCTGTTTTCCCTGGGAATTATCGTCTGACTTGGTGGGGGAAGTTATGCTTTCATTGCATCCGCTGTCAGCATCGTTTTCTTTGTCAGCCTGTAGGTTATCGTTAGAGTCCTGAACTTTGTAATTCAGATGATTGGTGGTGTGCAAGCTCAGGAGTTTACTTGGGAAATTAAGTTTCTCTACCGCCGAAGGGTACTCGCGAGAAGTACAGTTTTCAACTAAAGATGTCATCCCTCCGCATCAAATTCGTCTATCATTGATCTAAAAGAAAATAGTTGGGCTTAGAAAAAAAATATATATTTAAACATATGTTTCTTAATCGATGTAGCGAATTAATCCCAGAAAAAAGACTTTTTATAAAGTTTATGTTTACAAAGCAGCATCTTCCTTTAGAGTCAATAGAAAGTAAACATTGAAATATGAAGTGATTGATAACAACTTTTTATTACGGAAGTATTGGACTTGGTGTATGTGGGCCCTTATCACTGACGTAATCAATAAAGATAAAATGTTTTATTTATTATATGATTAATTAATAAATTAGGTTCATTATTATCTCATATAAAAGTTAAAATATAATTTTTAACAGTAAGAATTTTTTTTATTGTCTGGAATTTATTACATTCGAGGACCTATTATGATTTCATCTTGCCTATTATCAACTCGATAACTTAAGACAAACGAACATCTTAAAAAAAAAAATATTTTTAAAAGTTTTGCAGCTAACATATCAAAGAAGAAAATAAATATATATATTGATTTAAAAAAAAAATTAAAAATCCTGTTTTGATTTATAAATAACGAAAAATCAATACCAATATAATTATACTAATATTGTAAACGTGGCACAGTCTAAATTTTAGCGTATGAGTATGGACCCGCTCAAAGGAGGCTTTATTTAATGGCCGAAATTAAAACCCGCATTATGTGTTATTACCTTAGGAAAAGACAATATAACAATGGCACTTTCTAGTGGATAAGAACGACACATGTTACATTAACCGTAGTATCAAGTGATTATATCTTTTACAATTTGATGAAGACCACGCGAAGGACTCGGGCACATAGCGCACCTGTCGCTCAACTACCCAAGGAGCTATAGCATTGTGTCCTTATGTTTCAAACCATAGAATGACCACGAGATACGAATTAACACTTTAACTTCCAGAGAGGTGGTTGACTGTTGCGAGAGTGCCAGGTGAAAGGCAGGCCCCCGTGACTTCGGAGGGGAGTTCGCACGGGTGGACAGTGCGAGAAAGAAGTGCGTGTCTCACTTCTAAAGACGTCACCGCGACAGACAAATTGTCGTAATTACGCGGCTTTTGTATCTACATCATAGAAAATGTGTGAGCTAATTATTGCCGTCCCCTTCTGTGAATGACGTTTTGACGAAATAAAGAAAAGAAAATAATGAGGAGACAAATTATCTTTTAAGATGGTGGCCAATTCCGTGTTGGTAAATCACACGGCATACTACTGTCGTTAGATGCTGTTAATTTTCATATTCATTGCATAACCGTTCAATTGTGTAGCACACGGATGATTTGAATAATCAATCAAATGCTACAACAAATTCGTTTAAAGGGTCTTGAAATGACAAATAATTCTATCTTCAGGTGTGCTTTAATTATGCGCTTTAAAAAGTGCGTATAACGTCTCTATTGAATTATTACGCTACAGACGCCAATTTTCATTGGATTATTATCAAGCATACAATAACTGTTGAATTCATGATCATAAAACAAGTCGATATTTTTTTTTTATTATTTTATGTTAAAATCTTTAATTAAAATGTTACAATTAGCTTTATTTCTAATGCTAATGAAATACGTAAAAAAATTAATTAAAAGCATTAGCATTTTCTTCTTTTATCAATTAAAAAAAAAGAAAAAAGATAAAAGGGAGAAAAAAGAGAAAGAAATTACATTGACAAAAAATTAAATATTAACTCAAGTGTTAAATAATTTACTAAATTTTTGTTTGTCTAAAAAATAAAAATTTTTATTTATTTATTTTTAAGATAACAATTTTTGTTGAAAGGAATTGCAAAAGAAATCAATTTTGAACAAAATTAGCTTAACAAATAATATGTTGTCAATAAATGTTTACATACACATTAAAGCTAAATGCGTCCCCTGACTTCATCCTGTCCCAACTGTTTGATAATTCAGGCGAAATGGACTTAAGATAACTCTATGCTGTTCAAAGTTCCTTTGGCAACATCTTAACAAGTTATCACATAATATCATTTTCTACAATTTACTGGCCTTCACTGCGGCAGGGGTTAGCTTTGGGTCGGTTATTATCAGGGATGCATACCCTTATGTGGGATTACACTGCCAAGAACTGAAGTCAAGTTTAAATTTAGATTGAGTACATATCTATAGATATTGATCACGGACGTGAAATATTTGTGGTTTAAATTATCCTCATCTCTTTCTCTCCCTTTTCTCTCTGTGTGTTGAAAATGTCCAAATGTAACGCTTTGTTAGAAATCGGGTGGGTCTAATTAGTGTGACCAGCGTGTAAACTGTGATATACAAACAGATTCACTTTGTGGTGTTGTTACTTAAGACCCTGTCACAAAAACCTCACAATACAAACTTTTCCTTCCGTGATAAAAAAAAAAATGATGTATCATTACTATACATTAAAAGCATCCATAAATAAGAAAGTAAATAACTATAAGTAATAATAGTATTTTTAAGATGCAATAAATTAAGCAACAATTGAAATCTCAATTCATCAGCAAATTTTTAATATGAACTAAAAAGGAAGATATTATAATAAATCATATACTACCTATAGAAAAATTATATGAATGGTGAAATTGATATGATTCATCATTTTCAACCAGCTTTCAGTATCCAATCATTTATGAACAAATTTTGATGAATTTGAAAAGTATTAAAATTTACAAAATGAATAGAAGATAACATTTTTACCAAATGGATTGAGAGATTATAACAAAGATAAAATGGATAAATTATTGCTTCTTACTGTGTGATGTTTCTTCTTCGACTGAAAGTCTTCAGTGAAAAGCAAACTTCCACAAGGAAAAAAAACTTTTTTTTCAAAAATTACTAATATCCTGTAAAATGGAAGGGAAATCGTCTTCACGCCTAGTGTGGCTCACACAAGAGACTTTGTTCTGAGAGATCTCATAGATCACTATTAATATATTAAATAAGGTCCTTGAGAGAAATCTTGATTGAACGCAGGGAAAGCCACATCCCACTGCACGCGACTTTCGCAAGTCGATGTAAATCCCATTCATTAAATACTCATGAAAAGCCATCAAGTGTTGTGTCTTGACAATCTCCTTATTGGTTCTATGCTAATGAGCAAAACCAAGCCCCGCCCCCAAATTGTGCGAGCTCTTGGAACTGAAGTGGCTGGGATCGATAGAGTATAAACTGAAGACTTTATTGTGCTGAATAGCGTAAACATATTGTATTAACCGTATCGATCTCAGGGATGTGGTTTTTATTCTCTTAATTTAAATATTTCTCTTCTTCGCCATCGATTTTTATCTAAATATTTAATATGTTGTTTAAATATAGAAGTCAAATTTGTTGGGCAAGAGACGAAGAACAGACGGGGTGTATGGATGTTATTTGGTACTTAGAGACAATAGGAAATTTACTTTGTTCATCGCGTTAATTATTTCATTAATTGTATTTTTTTTAATTAAGACAATTTTAGTTACGAAATGGAAAAAAACCCCTCACTAATTACAATCTGTTAATCTGTTATATTAGGTATAAATAAAATATAATTGGATTTTATTTTTCCTTTTTTTTTTAAAATTATTATTTGTAAATTATTTGAATGTTTTGATATCGATCCGTTCATTTTACTTTTTAAGTTCACAATCTTAAGATGCACAACAGTAACAAGTAATTATTATTTAATTTTTTAAAAGAGTTACGTTTTATTTGATTTAATGGAGATAATTTCTGCAAACTTGGGTTTTAAAACTTTTTGAAAATTGTACCAAAGACATGTTTGTCCCTACTTGGCTTCAAACCAGATATTCATCATATACATGTAAACTCTTTCTTTAATTCAATCTGTTGCGGCTAAATGTGAGATGATTTCTGTAAATATTTTAAAGAAATATTTTTGATTTCTATATATGATGATAATTTTCATTTTCAGAAATTGAAGTCCAAGAATGTGAGCGCATGCCAATTGCAGTTGTGACATATTTCAAGTGTTGAATGAAATTTTAATGTCACTTGCCAGTTTGTTGGACTTGGGACTCAGAATAACTCATAACTTCAGAAAGGTGACAGATATTATGCTAGAAATAGTGAAAATGAAATGTTGCAAATTTGTTATCACGAGTGATTTAAAATCATCGATTGTATAGGATATCATCAGTGTAGATATTTATTTCAAATCTATTTGTAGACTTGCAAAAATATTGATCTTTTGTTGGATAGAAAATGCGAAAATGTCCATCTAATTCTCTTGCACTTAAAAAAAATTGTCTTCTTCTTCTGTTTTGGTCTTTTTCTTTTCTTTTTGTTTCTTTTTTTTTTTTTTTATCTTTTTTTTTAATTTTGTTTTTGTTTGTTTGTTTTTGGCTGCATTGCATTACCGAAAATTTTGAAAACCGATCAGTTATTAACTTATCATAACCGAAATATTTTTTTTTCATTTCCAAAAGAATGCAAGTGCGACAGAAAAAGTTCGCTACTGCATATTGAAATACACTGACTACATGTATCTGGAGCTGTGAACCCCTACATGTAGTATATATATTCCACTTTGGTATACAGGACTTTGCAGTTATATGCAAATTTTCATGAGAAAGATTATGTACATGCATTACACGTTTTACTGCAGTTTAAAATCGGCTCCAAATATCTATATTTTTGGAAATAGTGCTGATTGTTAATTATATGATTCATTAAAAATTATCCTCCCCAGAATTTCGTCACCTCCCTGTAATGAGAAGTGTGTGTGGGGGTGGGGGTGGGGGCAATAGTACAGTCTGACTTAGGGAAAAGGTACCGGGTATTAAAAGTTAGATTAACGGAAATGCTATAGATACATTGCTTCAGAAAATAAATGATAAAGGTTTTGGAAATGTATTTATAAATATATTACTTATAGATAAGAAAAAAATTTAAGTAATACGTTATCGATTTTAGGTAATGCCTAATTGCGTGTTTTTTCCCCTGTATTTTTTGGAGGGAGGAAGAAGAATAGCATCGGGGCTTTTAATAAACAAATAAAATTACCTGAGAAAAAAATTATGTATCGACTTTAATAAAAAAAAAACCTTTAGTTCATTGTTTGCTGTTCCCTGACGCATGTAGACGGTTTTGTCTTACAGGATACATTAAACCCAGAGAGATACCGAGCGTACAGAAAGCTGTGTCTCCTGTCAATAGCACGTGTTCCTATGTCGTCTTAATTATGTTAACAGGTGTTACTGGTACTTCTGCATTTAAGTTACATATTCATGCTCCCTGTATGTTGGATTTTGTTGGGATACTCAGAAAATGCATTTTTTTTTTAAATTTAACTTCATCATTTCGTGACACTGGTGAGTTGAAAAGAATAAAACAGCAAGTGTCAAAACATAAGGTTCGAACAAATTAAATGTACAAAACTGAGTATGGGTACGATGTTAATATTTTAATCTCGATTTTGTTAATGAAATTAATGATAATTTCCATCACCTATAAAATCTACACAGCATGAGGACATTTGATTTACTGAGGTCTGTAGATATTTAAGATCGAAAAATAACATATATAAAATGTAAATAAATTCATGAAGTAATGTCATCACCAGTAAAACTGGATGTTTAAAAATATATAATTAAGCCTAAGTTTAGATGCTGCTGCAAGTCTTGTCAGGATAAATTATTATTTGTACTAAAGATATGCTTCCAGTTGATTAAATTATATTAAACATTTTAACTTAATTTTGCTAAAAATTTCATTCCGGTCTAATTTTCAGAGTTATTGAAGAAACTTTTTAGATTAATTGAAAACTATAGATAAATTAAAGATTTCCTACCATTATTAGTACTTGGAGGTCCTCGCTCCTCATCGAGCATCAACATAACTTTAGTTACAACTGTTGATTATTAGTTTTCAAAAATATTCATATAATTATTTTCAACTGAAGAACCCTCTATACACTGCACACTAAAGAGCACTAATATTCTACAGTGTTTTTATGTAATCTTTAACATTTGAATAGTCTAAGATAAATGAACTGAACACTTTATTTGCAGTCATTTTCCCCACTTCATCAATACTTCAGTGTCTTTGAATATTTTTTCTGGGGGGTACCACGTACCCTATGTTGAAAATGAAATAGATAAGCGCATTATTTATAATAAAACATTTTGATTTAATGCACAGAGGGTCATTAACGATGAAATATGTACACCGCCTTTGGACGAAAGAGAGATAACTCTTACAGACAGCTGTAATGACAGCAGTGTGTCCTTTCCTGTAGTTAGCCTGCTCCTAAAAAATGGCTGGCATGTTGACGCAAGGACGGCGCGTCGTGCCACATATATTTCGAAGGTTTTCTGGGTGTAGAGCTGTAACCCATGGAATAAAGGTATGAAGTTGAAAGGAGCATTATTCTCTAATGATAGCACAAACACATGATGGAACTACAATAATGTAGCTAATTGATGATGACTTCATGTTGAAGGACATTTTGCTGAAGGAACTCTTGCTGTTTTGCAGTTTGAGTTGCACTCAGATTAATGTTCTGTAAAGAAAAAAAAAGACCTGGGTAATTTTCTGAGAAATACAACAACATGCAACCGAAAAAAGTGAAATCTAACTACAGAGTGTGCCTTAATAAGTGTAAGATAAACGGGTTATAACTTAACTCGAATTTCCTCGGAAAATTAAATATTGCGTTAGCAGTGCAATAAATGAGATAAATAATTATAAAGTGGTCACTTTGCCAATAGTAAATATTGTTTTGAATTTATGCGGAGTAAGTAATGTATTTTTTCTTTATGATAAAGTGATGTAAAAATCCACCTCAGAACTCTAAATTTATTCCTTCCTTCTGTCAGTCATTCAGTGATATTATTCAGTCCTCAGTCACTTGCATATTTCTGTAAGTAGGTGAACATAGTAATTTGCAAAAAAAGAAAAAAAGACTTGTAATATTGGTTGTGCATTGCCTGTAATAAGTTGACCTTTGACTTTCATTTCAGAGATCAAGACAAGTACATCCTGCCCTAAGTGAGTACAGTATACATGCACACACATCGCATTTTACCTCTCTTCATTTGAGATATTAAATTTATTTCATCCAGTATTTTATCGTGAAAGTGATATCTGCAATCACGTCTGGAATTCCAGTCTTTAAAAATTTAATATTACAATCAGATGAGTGTTTTATGTGAACACAAATGCATTTAATTTAACATTTTTTTTTTAATCTTAAAGTCCTATTTGACAAGAGCTATTTATCACAGCTAAGTCTGTTGCACTTGATAATTATGTTAACAATCTGACATTGATTTTTAAGGTGCGGGCCAGAAAACCGACTTTCCTTTAGCAGAGTGAGTATAAAATTACTGCCCCTATTTGTAGTGCCATATCTTATAACTACCCTCATGTCTTCTCATGCTGACTGATATTTAATGAAGCCTGTCTGAGAAGTTAATTTTAAGCTGGAAGGAAATGGGTCTTTTTTATAGTAAATATCATATGGTGATATTTTGCAATCATTTTTTGTAACCAGTTTGATGTTGAGGGTAAAATTGTTCATCAAAGATGATTGTGTTGATATATTTAAAGTAAAATCAACTTTAAAGATTTGAACTGTTTGCTTAAGAGCAGACCAGAATACATATCCTAGTCATTTTACGTTGGAGGCTTCAGTCTGAGGACTTACAATTTGTAATAATTAAATACTGATACATAAGAATTTTATCTATTTTCAGTTTAAAAGTCATCTATAATTTTAATATACCTGAATGTGGAACACTATACTATTGACCAAAATAAACTCAATTTGTATAAATAACAAAGAGTTTTACATACTTATTAGGTACCAGAAAAAACAGACATGGACCAGAAGTTTTCATGTGTCATCACTGTTCTGTAAGTCTGAGGTCTGGAATGTGTGTTGTTTTCAGTGTTATCTGTACCTTTGCATTTCATTCATCAATGAAAATATTCTCACAGGTATATGATTTTAATATTATCAAAAATATTGTAATCTGTATCAACATTGGAATATATTTTCATTCAGATCAAGATATTAAAGAGGTGAAGTGCCCAGGATTTTCTGAGTCCATTTCAGAGGGGGATGTCAGGTGGGAGAAGGGTAAGCTAAAGAAAAAAGGTGCCACTCTGATTAAATTTTATTTCATAATCTTGAGATAACATAATATGAGCTTCGTGTGATAACATGTATGTGGTCAGTGACATGTATGTAGTAAGGCACAAGATTACATGTAGTGAGGTACATGTGATTACATTTAGTAGTGACTTGTATTTAGTGAGGTACTACATGTGATTACATTTAGTAGTGACATGTATTTAGTGAGGTACTACATGTGATTACATTTAGTAGTGACTTGTATTTAGTGAGGTACTACATGTGATTACATTTAGTAGTGACATGTATTTAGTGAGGTACTACATGTGATTACATTTAGTAGTGACTTGTATTTAGTGAGGTACTACATGTGATTACATTTAGTAGTGACATGTATTTAGTGAGGTACTACATGTGATTACATTTAGTAGTGACATGTATTAAGTAAGGTACTACATGAGATTACATTTAGTAGTGACATGTATTTAGTTAGGTACTACATGTGATTACATTTGGTAGTGACATGTGTTTAGTAGGGCTGTGTATTGAGCAAAATATTTCGAGACGATACAATACAATATTTTTTAAAGCGATATGCGATATATTGGATTATTTATTAAGTCTTTCACAAATGTCTCGTAAATGACATTTAATGCATAAATTTCATAAAAACTGGGTGAGTCTAACATAACATGTTAAAATATAGTTGTCTATGTATTTTGTAATAGTTATTTAAGATGTGCTATCTCCTTAATGTTTATTTCATTATTGACCAGTTTTAATTCAAAACATTTAAAAATAATCTTTGGTAACTGAAATTCCCAACTTTTTTACAGAATTATAAGGAAAGCTGCCTGTCCAATACGTATTGGAAGTTATTTTTTCGATACAATACATCCCTGAAAATCGATACGTATTGAATATTTGATATATTGACACAGCCTTAGTGTTTAGCTAGGTACTACATGTGATTACATTTGGTAGTGACATGTGTTTAGCTAGGTAGTACATGTGATTACATTTAGTTGTGACATGTGTTTAGCTATTTAGTACATGTGATTACATTTGGTAGTGACATGTGATTATTAGTGAGGTACATGAGATTACATGTAGTGAGCTATGTATGATTACATATAATGAGCTATGTATGATTACATATAATGAACTACATGTGACAGCTGCATATAGTGAGCTAATATGATTTCATATACATGTAGTGAGCTACATGTCCTAAGTAACAAATGTATGTAATTTAGGAATTTCACTTCAAATTTAATGTTCAATAGAATTTTTATAGATATAGGAGTTAAGGTGGAGAGGAATTGCAGAAACACTGATTGTAATATTGCTAACTCTTGAACATATTTAATATAGATATATGTTAGATCGTACATTATATTTTTGGAGATAAAAGTGCCTGTTTTATTTTGTCTGGCAGCTGTTGGGGACTTTGTACAGGAGGATGAGACACTTGGAGAAGTGGAGACAGACAAGGTAAACATTTACAGTAAAACCTGCTTATAGCGAACACACTTATAATGAATCGACGCTTATAGTGAAATGATTTTCATTCCCCTTGACTTTAAATTATATTGAACACTTTATGGATATAATGAATTATGCTTATAATGAAGCAAAATTGTCCATCCCTGGCACTTGGTTATTAGCATGTTTTACTGTAGTTAGGACTAAGGTAGATAAGGAATACCATTGCCCCCTAAAAATATATTGAAAATAAATGAAATTTAAAGTAATTCACTAGAGTAAAAAAGCATAGACTGATAACATTGGTAGACAAACTTTAATGTTTTTTTTCAGACAGGTGTGCCTATTCACAGTCCATACACAGGGGTCATTGTAGAACTTCTGGTGGAGGATGGAGCCACAGTCCAAGCTCATCAGCCTCTCTTGAAGATAGACGTTTCAGGTAAATTGTAAATCTGATTCATTGAACAATTGCTTTGCACTGGGCTGACTTGTCAGATTGAGATGTTTTTATTTTAAAAAAGTGCATGTATCATACCATTTGCATACAACTCTTATTTTACCCATGGATATAGATAGCTGTTCAGGAGTTCTGTTTTCCATTTCTTTATTTGTTAAATTTCTCTGTTAGTTTCAATGTGGTGCTAATTTTGGGGTTTTTATCCTTTTACAAAAATAGGGAAGATATGATATAGCTGTGTACAGTAGATAGGGAATAAAAGAGGTGTCATAGACTTCATATACTCTATTCCTGTCATCAAAGTAGGATGTGCATCATATATACTGTAGCAGGCCTGATAAATGACATGAAGTAATTCTATAATCATTGTTTGGATATATTTTGTTCAATGTATAATGTGCTTTACATGATATGGGGATATCAAAATGATAAATTATGGCCCTATGTTCTTAAGAAGACATGCAACAGAAAAGATAGTGTTGAAATAATAATAATTTTCTTTCTGTTTTGTATTCCAATGAAATTGAAAGTAAACCAAAATAATTTCCCCATTGTATAAGATAATTGTAACAATAAAAGACATGTTGAGGAGATCAGTGTAACATGCCAACTTGTGAGATATAGTTGAATGAAATAAAAAAAAATTACATTTAATTTCTCTTTAAAGCCTCAGGGGACACTCCTGCCAAGAAAACAGAAGCACCTGCAGCGGAGAAGCCTAAACCTGCCTCAGAAAAGCCCAAGGAAGAGACACCACCAAAACCAGCCCAAACCAGCTCCAGTGGCCCCATTCCAACCACCCCTCCCCCTCCCCCACCTGTACCAAAGGCACCCATGTCCTCTTACCCTACCTCAAGTGTCAAAGTCACACCTTTTGAGGGGTCAGTGGCGCAAGGTGGTGCTAGAACAGAAACAAGGGTTAGTTAAATGTTTTTACTGTCAAAGGCTACATGTAAGAATTCTTTGATTATGATGTATTGTTTGTTTTGTTATTGTTTGTGTTGTTATAGTGCATGTTGTTATTGTTTGTTTTGTTATTGTCTTTATTCAGACAAAGATGACAAGAATACGACAGAAGACAGCTCAGAGGTTAAAAGAATCTCAGAACACGTGTGCTGCACTAACTACCTTTCAAGAATGTGATATGAGGTATATTTAACATTGTATGACATCATGGCTTCTGCAAGCAAAAATTTGGAATTACATGATTAAGTTCTTAGTTTAAAGAAGTCTTAAAATTGCATAGAAAGAACATTATGCTTGCTATAAACCTTTATACTTTTTCTCAGCAATCTCATGGAGTGGAGAAAAACATATAAAGACCAGTTTGAAAAGAAGCATGGTGTGAAGTTAGGAATGATGTCTCCTTTCATTAAGGCTGCTGCTTTTGCTCTGAAGAATCAACCTGTAGTGAATGCTGTGATTGAGGGAAATGAAATTATTTACAGAGACTATATAGACATTTCAGTAGCTGTAGCATCTCCAAAGGTACTTCATTATTTAATGATCTCATCTACATTGTTAGCCACTTAAAAGTTAATTTTTGCACCATTGGCCTGTAGAACCTGCCAGTCAGTGAGGCTCCCTGGGAAATTAGGACCCCCCCCCCCCCCCCCACGGCCCCCTTATTTTCTGTACATCTACAATTATCAGAACTAGTCTTTCTTGATATCAATAATGACTTGACTGAGATTCAACTTTTTTGAAAAGTTTATTGTTTATCTGCCTCAGGCCCTTCTAATAAGAATGTAAACAAGTGAGTCAAAAAATGTGATGAAAGTAGAGTACTGGAATGTTTGTTTTTAATGTAAATGGTACAACTCTTTTCTTCTTTGAGAAAAAAAATCTACAGGCCTGTTGGACATCTGATTTGAATTTTTTTTTTCTGACCCCCCCCCCCCCCCCAATTTTAGTGGACTCGGGTCTATAGTTTTTGGTAAAGTTTGCATCAATGTATATGTAGATGCAAGGTTAAACTTGGCATTTGGATCACTTTCCAGCTTATCTCAAGGGATATCCAAATTAATTGTGAAGTACATGTAGTATAACTGTATAGTAGGGTCTAGTGAAACATTGCCAGAAGTACAAAATATAACTAAAAGATTCCCCTGTATTTTACATGTACATGTATATCCTTGGAATTTGATGTATGTGTACCTCAGATGCACTATGTGACAAAACAAAAACAAAGTTGGTCTTACACTTGATCATGGATCTGCAGAGATAAAGGAGATGGAAAAAAATTGAAAGGCATTGAATGTATGCATATTTTGATTAGAGGAAGTTTCAGTATTCCACTTATAAAATGGTGAAATAAAAATAAAGTAATCCAAGTCTGATTTCTTCGCCAGGGTCTTGTTGTACCTGTCATTAGGAATGTGGAAACATTGAGTTATGCTGACATTGAGAAAACCATCCTGGATTATGGTGAAAAGGTATGAATTGGAATGTTAATCGGTTTAATAATACATGACTGTATTAATCTCAGTATAAACAAAGGAATATCAGAAAGTAACTTAGACAACCATAACATTTTTGTTTTGCATGTTGTAGATCATCTGTATCTATCACTACAATATTTCTCATTTCACGTTGTTGCATTATACCTAAATATACATTGAAGATGTGTCCTGTTCTGAATACAATATGCACATTTGACTAATGGCCTCCAATGTTGAGCAGCAGGATAGGTTCAGATTTAATTCCCTTGTTTGTAAATATCATTTGACCAGCACTTGCAGAGAACAAAGACTGGTATGAAATTTTGTATTGTTAAAGCATTGTCTTTTTTGTGGAAAATCTGAAATATATTATGTTTTGTGATTTGTATTCATAGGCAAAGAAGAACATGTTAGCAATAGAGGATATGGAGGGAGGAACATTTTCCATCAGTAATGGTGGGGTATTCGGATCTCTCTTTGGAACACCTATAATTAATCTGCCTCAAAGTGCTATTCTAGGAATACATACCATTAAGAAAAGACCAGTCGTTGTTGATGATCAGGTATGTTCATTGTATGAAAGGTTTCATGATATCGATACTTCCAAACACATCAGCTCCATTGATTTTAGAGGAGATACATATATCTCAAACTATTGTACAGAATTATTAGAAGGTTACTGTAGACATAAATATTTCTGTGTGGGATAAATTTATGCTATATGTATGCAGTCACAAATTTGTTACAGCCTACTTAAAGTGCATTTGAGACAAACGATTGCAATGCAAGAAATCCGCATAAATTTCTTCCAATGGATTGAACAGATATTGTGATTCCATGGAGTTATGACCCCCCTTGGAAAAAAGTACAATTACAGTATTTTGGCTTTAAAGCCAAAGTCACTTGTAATCCTGATAGTTCTTCAGACATCGGAATGGAAGAGTGTGCTCCACGAAATGCCACATAAATAAAAACTATACAATTAAGAAAATATTGATTTGTAGTCTGAATTTCATTTTGTATACCTCTTATTCACAATACTTGTGTGTCATTTACTGTAAAATAAGCTGTTTAAAAAAAAAAAAACTTTCGTTTTTGACAAAGGAAATACATCATTAAAGTAATCAACTTAATTTTGATACATTTATCCATATGATTGCTACGTAAAGCATAAACATGTTATCTTTACTTCCATATAAAATACGATTAAACATGTTTTAACCTTGTCTCTGTGATTTCAGATTGTGATTCGACCCATAATGATTCTGGCTCTGACTTATGATCATAGACTTATTGATGGCCGCGAGGCTGTGACATTCTTAGTGGACATCAAACGAGCAATAGAGGATCCCAGAGTCATGCTTCTCGATGTTTAATTATGTGGCATATATAGTGCATAGAAACAGTTTAAAATTGTTAATGTATAATTGTATGTCTTCAGCCTTGCACACGGGACTGTATTTTAATTTGTCAAATCCTCTGAGAATGTTTTTCAAGTGCTTTGGAGTGCTACTGGTATCTTTTGAGATCTTTACTGCGTTTAAGTTGAGATTACTACAGAATCTGGGTATATTTTGATGAAATGGTAATATACCATCATATATGAGATCTACTTACATTACATTCTGGGGTAAATGTTCTCCATACAGATATATTGTATAGTTACAATGTTAAGGTTTGAAGTAAAGAATGTAGTAACAAGGTAGATGTATTAAAACAGGTTACTGGAAGAAATTCCTGTCATGGGGGGGGGGGGGGGAATTTAAGAGGCATAATTATGGACATTTATTTATAATGATTAGCTTAAAATCAAATATGTTGAAAAATAAAATATTTTTCCTAATTGTTTCAACTTCGTTTTTATTTTATATCAGGATTACCGGTAAAGAAAACCAGAATTCTGACTTGCTGTATATCAAAACTTGTATAGACTGTCAAAGTTATCTGATCCATGGTATGTGTCAGATGCATATACTTAAAGATGACGTTTACTTAGATAACGAAAAAATTCCACTGATAGGAACGAAAAACCACCTATTGTACATTGTGAAACTATGATTGCAGTATTATTTACTTTCAGATAACTAGGTCATTGTAATACTTTTCATGCTAGTGGCCCCTGAGATTTTCTTGGAAAATATTTCAATCAATGAGCCAGAAGAGATGAAACTTTTGTGAAAACTTCCTGAGGTGTTGTGAATTCTAAATTATTAAAATCATTGGCTGGGGGTGGGGTGGGGTTGTTGAAACTTAACACACAGTAATCCATACATTAAACATGCAGTCCTTCTATTTTATGCATCTGCGTTACCTGTGACCTTTTCAAGTGTACTGTGGTTTTAACTTCATGACCTTGAAGTTGGACCTACTTTTCAAATATTTTGACTTTGGTAATAATTTTTTTTAATAAGAAAAGAGAGAACTTTCATATTTCAAATATGCATTACTTGTGACGGGTCCTTCCTGAATGTACTATGATTTTTGACTTTGAAATTCACTGCACCTCAGCCAATAAGATTCTGAAAAATGGACACCACAATTCTCTGAATTTGCTTGTTAGCATATTCTTAGTATACTGGAATTCCTGCTAATATTAGCATCTATACTCGAATTCCTAAGGATATTAGCATTTAGTATATGAGCATTGAATTCTTGTGGATATAAGTATCTAATATATATACTGGATTTCTTGCAGATATTAGCATTTAGTATAATGGAATTCCTGTGGATATTAGCATCTAGTATGGTGGAATTCCTGTGGATATTAACATCTAGTATACTAGTATTGAATTCTTATGTATATAAGTATCTAATATACTGGAATTCTTGTGGATATTAGGATTTAGTATGTACTGTAATTCCTGTGGATATTAGCATTTAGTATACTGGAATTCCTGCTAATATTAGCAACTATACTGGAATTCCTATGGATATTAGCATCTAGTACACTGTATACTAGTATTGAATTCTTGTGGATATAAGTATCTAATAAACTGGAATTCCCACAAATATTAGTAATGACATAGTATACTAGAATTCCTGTGGATAATAGCATCTAGTATACTGGAATTCCTGTGGATATTAGACTGCAGTAAGTTCCAAGTACATGTGAATTAATTAATAACTTATGCACATACATGAATATGCATGCATATTTAATTAGACAAATTTTACAAATTTTAAACCTTTTTTCTATCATTTGATATTAAAACTAAACTAAATGTAAATTGTCATCACTAATGTATACAGTTTAATTCAGCTCAGAAAAACTCTGATTATTACTTGGACGTCAGATTTATTTTAAAAAAAAAGGCACATGTAAATGGATTTTCACATTAAAAAAAAAAAAAATAAATACAAACTCCTTTCTCTGATATGCTAAGGTGCTGGTTACATAAATTTCTGGATACAAAAAATATGAATTTCTAAGTAATGAACAAACAAATTCATGAACAAAAATATTCATCCTGAACCCCAGGGAAGAAAGTTAGCGAACTAAAACTAGATGAAAGTCTACTGGCATGGTCAAACTTCTGTTAGCTAAAGAAGCATTGCAAAATATCTTGCAAGGCACCATAGGCACTCCCCAGCTTAACTGTTAAAATAATATATCTATACTATATTATAGTATTGTAGATATTATTTAATGGTTAAGCTGGGGAGTGCCTATGAAAAAAAAAATGCCATAATACTGATGAAAAGACAAAGTGAAAAAAAAGAATTCTACATGTAACAATTTTTTTTTTTATTATGTATTATTATTATAAAGTATATGTAATAAGCACTGCAATTTTAACTAGTTGACTATTTTTTTCACAAAACAATTAAAGGTTCTTCTACCTCTCTTAAGGATTTTACATATAATTTTTATATATTTGTCTTTAAACATACATTTTTTATGAAATAGAATGCAAAAAATTGCTTAATATTGGAAAATCTCATTTTTAAAGAAATTCCTTTTTGACCTTGACTTTTGACATTGACCAAGTATTAAAAATCAAAGGTCATTTTTTTAAAAACTTTTAATTAAACGCAAACACTAAATCTTTCAGGGGCAATACATTTGACTACTTCAAGGGGCCAATGAATCTTTTTGACCTGAATAGCTCAGAGAGTCTACAAAGTTAGTCGAAGACATACCGGTAATAGTAAATGTTGAAGGTTTGGTATCTCTTCGGTTCATGGTTTTGGATGAGTAGCAATAACAAGCTTGAAATGCAAAAGGGGAATAAATCCTTGAGGGGTCAAAGAAAGTACAAATACACAGTGTCAACTGTAAAAATGTTTTGAAAATTACATTTTCACCTCTTTTTGATATATCTTGGAACTCAAAATCACTCAGCGAAAAAAAAAAAAAAAAATAAACAGTACAATTTCATTAGGTCTTTCCACAGGAAAGTGAAAAGACCCAATTATTCAGAACAGTAGCAAATAAATAGAAAAAAAATTGAATATTCTTTATAAACACATATGCTGCATGCTATCTTCAGTGTTTGAGCCCCACCATTTTCTCCGATATTTCCCACAACTTCTTGGCGACTTCATCATCTTGAGCAGCTTTGGCTTCCTCCTTAATAGCACAGTCACTGAAAGGGGGATAATTCTAATCATACAGAGCTAGCTATTTTATATATATTTAGTAATCTGATAACTGTAGAAGAACATGTACAATATATGTACATGTGAATGATATGGATATGTACAAAAACTTATAATCCTCATGATAAAGAATCAATGACAAATACCTTCATGACTCAGCATCATAATTTGCTTAATCTATTGAAATCCAGAAGAAAAAATTCTGACCCCTAAAATTCTAATACTGTTATGTCATTCCTCTATCTGTACCTTCATTTAACTTACCTAAAATATTTTCCTGTAACATTTTCTAGACTCTCCTCTACAGCACAGTATATACTGGTCTGTGCTCCTTGTTTGGGAGTTTTCGCAAAGAATAAAATTAATGGGAAAAATATTCTGAGGTATGCTGGCACTGTTTGTGGTAAATATCGTATGAGTTCGGTCAAGACAAGCCCAGGATGTAGGGAATTAGCTGTTACATTTGTTCCTGTAATAAAAAAAAAAACATTTTAAATTGTGATGGCAAATATGGACCAAAATAGTAAAAATATGTAGCTCTTTTTTAATTGGACACTGCAATCTTTTTTTTTCTTTTGAAAAAAGAGGAAGGGGGGTTGGTTATCTCAAGATCTGATTTACATGTGTAATGGGATGGACAATGAAAGAAATTACCAATTGACATCCCTAGTAAATACTGTATTATAATGTAAAAACACCTTCATGCTTTTTAAGGACCATACTCTGGAACCTCATCTCAAGATAAACAATCAAAGCAATTACCAAGCAAATGAAATTAATGTTTATTGTTCCTAAACCCCTCTTTTTCATAAATATAACAATGTTTAGTGAATAGTGATGTACATGTAAATACTAGGGATATCAATGAGTATTCAAGTACTAAACTATCATTTAGTCATACCAACTATTGACTAGATATATTTTTACTTGATTACTCGTTAAAATTGTGCTATTTAATTGTGATACTATTATCAAGTAAATAAATTTTGTGGATTTTGTTTCTTCAGCTGGTTTACTGGAGTCAAAGCTGAGATCCACCTCTGAACTTGTGGATCAAGTAATTTTTTTTAAACTTGGCATACATTTAATTAGGGAGATAGACGTGTGCATTCTTTGATATTTCTTTTGATGTAGAATATGATTTCTCATGCATTGTCCTTATAAAAAGGACATAATATTAAACTGAATGAGAAAAATTATTTTAACAAGTACTCAACTAACACTCAACTAAAGCCCTCAATTATTGATTATTCGACTTATTCGACTGAAATTGGCTATCCTAGTAAATATACATGTATAAACATCTACATGCCTGTTAACACCATACTATCCATTGGGGCTTCATCTCAAGAGATTTGGTTTGTGTGGAAGCATACATTAGTTGAAGTTTGTCTACATGACAACTCACCTTCTAGTCTTCGATTTAACTCCCGTGTGAACAAAACATTGGCGAGTTTGCTTTGTCTGTAGGCAAACCTACTATCATAATCTTTCTCACTGTTGATATCATCAAAATTGATCTTTTCAGTTCCTGAACAGAAAATTAAAATATTTGTCACATATACATGTAGTAAGGAATGCCTATACATTTGTGGATGATAATATCAACAGACCTGTTTATCCAAATTGTTGTCTCTCAGTATTTTTCATTAGATTTGTCAGTGAGATTAGGTATTTGCCCGTAAGATTTCACTTTTCATCAGCTGTAGATATATTACTAGAAAACAACTACATTTCTGATTACCAAAACATGGTTTAATAACAAAGCAAAACGTCATACACTGCTCTCTTTTGAGTGATTTCTGTCATTTTTTAAACCACCGCATTTTGGCAACTTAAATGTTTGAAAATTTTCTCTTCTTTAGCGATTAAAAAGGGTCAAACTGAGACAGATAACGAAAACTAATTGCTAAAATCCATATGAACGGATTTCCGTATTTTCGTTAGAGCAATACGTAAGACGTATTTTGGACTGAAAATCCGTACAAAATACTGCGAAATCGTAAGAGTAAACAGGTCTGTATCAATCTGTTACTTACGTAACGCTGCTCCTTTAATTTATTGTATTCATTTATTTACACATGCCTCCATATACTGTAAACCAAATTTTATTCATGTGAGAGAAATTTAAGTACACAACTGTGTAGAAAATTCCATCTGCAGTACGTACTGTAAACATACTTTTTCAGCTTGGGATTGATTCACACTATGTACGTGGTAACATTTTTTCTGCGAAAAACTATCACAGTTAAATGCATTTAGGACAAATGGTGTCAATTCAAGAAATGTGTGTAACTTTCTACCTGCAGATTAAACAGATATTGTGATTCCGCAGAATTATGACCCTGTGGAAAAAAGTACGTTCACAGTAAAATAATTCTTACGTGTATGAGCAAGTGAGGATACATTAATGATTCTGGCAGGAGCAGAACTTTTAATTTTATCCAGCAGTAGATTGGTCAGTAGAAAGTGACCTAAGTGGTTAACCCCAAACTGCATCTCAAAACCATCCTCTGTCTTCCAATACGGACACATCATAATGCCTAGAAATAAAAAGAGTTACACCAGTGTATGATAAAGTGACCAGTTTTCAATCCATTCACAATTTCACATGCCTTATACAACAATATTTTAAGAATGGATTCTGCTCATAAACAATGAAGTTTTGATTGTTGATGTCAACTCCTTGTGCCAGAAATGTTTGTTTGTAAACTCGAATAATTGGTCAAGTACTATTGAACATCTAGAACATTGATATCTTGAATACTACGGATATGTCAAAGTGAGTTGGACATCCCTTCTGCTTTTTCTATATGTATTTTAACCTCCATGCCTTGAACTCTCGGATTTCTCTCAGTTTTTTTTCAGTTCAAATGAGTTCAACATAATCATGATAATGAGGTTTGAGTGTATATTCACCAAAGATCATGCTAGAGCTGAATGCGATGTACTGTGTCCCAGACTAATTGTATACATATAACACTTGAGTTCAAAATCTGAAATTCTGTTGTTTGTGTTCATTTGGATTTCACTATTTTTGAAATAAACTGGCTTAGATGTTTCCATCTTGTAGATAATATGGCAGAGTTTTTGTGAAGTTAACTAAGAGAGTTTACAATGTACATTGTACTCACAGCACAGGTGAATTGTTTACCAAAAAATAGTCTCCAAATTATCACTATTTTGAAAAGTCAATTTCTATATAAAAATTCTCTCACAAACTGAACAAGCATTCTGAGAGTATTGCATTAGCAATACTAGTCCCCTACCGGCAAGTGTAATCTGGTTCCCATTAAGAATTGAAAATGCCATAATTCTGTCAAAAATTAATGAAGCGGGACGAAATGCAAACTTGATCTATAACTAATCAAGGTAAAGCCACATACCAAAAATCAGCTCAATATCTACAAGCGTTAAGAAGAAAATTGCGGAAAACCCCTAAAAATTGAAAAGGCCGTAATTCTGTCAAAAATCAATGAAGCGGAACGAAATGCAAACTTGATCTGTCACTCATCAAGATACACTCACCTACCAAAAATCAGCTCAATATCTGCAGGCGTTTAGGAAAAAAGTGCAGAAAACCAAGTGGGACAGACTGACAGACAGACAGAGGGACAGACAGACAGAGGGACAGACAGACAGACGGACAGACAGACTCAGAGTTCAGGTCCAAAATTTGTCAAAACCACAGAGGGAAGGTGACTGCAACTTATCTATGTTCAGTCACATGACTCATCAAAAGTATCTATTAAAGTAATTTTACATGTTTTACAAAAATAATCCCAGATACAATGTACTAAAGGCTCATGAGCCTTGAGGCTTATCTGATCATTGCAAGATTTGCTATGTATAATTATTTTAATTTATAACATTAAACACATCTACATTAAATACATGTATTTCACATGAGGCCTCTCATGTTTCAGATTTATACATGTAATTCAGATTTTTCATTTCAAGATCCTTCACAGAAAGACGGTACGTACAAAAGCTTTAAAAATTATAAAGTTTCTGCACACATACAATATCTGATAGACAAAAACACATAGAAATTGGAAACCAATATATACCTGCATTATTGATAAGAATATTAACTTTAGGCTCCGTTTTGTTGATATTGTCGGCAAACTTTCTGATAGATGCTAGAGACGCCAGGTCCACAATCCTCACTGCTACATTCTGATTGTTGGTCTTAGCGATGATCTCTGTGGCCGCTCTCTCTGCCCTCAAAACATCACGGCATGCTAAAATAACTCGGGCACCTGAAAACACAAAAAGGATCATAGTCAGTATAAACAATTAACATGATACATGTAGTATCAACAACATCTAATAGGGCTGAGATATAAACAAGGACGTTGCAAAAGGGGTCATTATAATTTTGCAATCACATGTAAATATAACTAATTCTACTATGATTATTACCGGGGGGGGGGGGGGGGGGGAGGAGGTGTGATTGCACGTCAATGCAGGTCCCTCTCCCAAATTTTTTATCAATTTACCTCCCCAATGTTAAATACTTTTTGATGCCTTTGGTAAAGAAGAAAAAAACTTAAGTTCAATATAGGATTAAGTTTAAAGTATTGCATGTAATTATGGAATTGTCTAAATTTATCATATTTTGTATGCAGTGCAAGGGTACACCAAATTGTAAAAATATTATAGGGGGAAAAAGTTATACAAGTTTCAAGCCAAAGATGTCATGATATGAAAGTTACATGCATTATGCTTTCAGATCATTTGGACACTAGACAGAAATTCTACACTAGGTTGTTATTGACCTGAACCTTCATAATTACTAACCTACATATTCCTTGCATGAATAAAACTACTGTATAACAGGAATATTTAGGGATCATCTAATTTTGGCATTGATAGCAATGGTTTTGGTGTCGCTAATAATTCAATCAAAAATATTGTATATGAAATTAAACAAGCATTCTGAGAGTATTGCATTAGCAATACTAGTCCCCTACCGGCAAGTGTAATCTGGTTCCTGTTAAGAATTGAAAATGCCATAATTCCGTCAAAAATCAATGAAGCAAAACGAAATGCAAACTTGATCTATAACTAATCAAAGTTAAGTCACATATCAAAAATCAGCTCAATATCTGAAAACGTTAAGAAGAAAATTGCGGAAACCCCCTAAAAATTGAAAAGGCCGTAATTCCATCAAAATTCAATGAAGCGGAACGAAATGCAAACTTGATCTGTAACTCATCAAGATACACTCACATACCAAAAATCAGCTCAATATCTGCAAGCGTTTAGGAAAAAAGTGCAGAAAACCAAGTGGGACAGACTGACAGACAGACAGACAGACAGACAGACAGACGGACAGACATACCGACGGACAGACAGACGGACAGACTCAGAGGAAACCTATAGTCCCCTCCAGTTTCACCGGTAGGGGACTAATAAAGCTTTCCCTAAATTTACTAAAAATTAAGTATGCTAATACCTGGTAATAATTGGCCACTTTTTAAAATAGAATCACTAACTTTGCTGATTGCTGAAATTACCTGTTATAAGGTAATGTATGCACATTATTTACAACTAATGACTGATACCTCTGGAGGCCAAATCAATAGCTGTTTCTTTCCCTATCCCTGTATTGGCCCCAGTGATGATCACAGTTTTCCCATCAAGTCTTGCTTTGCTTCTGCAGACTCCCCCAGCACAGTACCGTCGCAAAGCAAAATAAGTAATACCTAAAAATCAAATTAAGGATGAACATCACTAGTACATGTAAAGAATGAACAAGTACTCACTGATAAAACATCAGAGATATACTCAAGCTGTAGAAAGTCAAGCAAGAAGTGTCATAAATATCCAAAAATGGCATAATCAATATGTAGGTTATTGATTTTAAACATCTTCTGTTGAATAAAATACATGTACTAGGAAACAATACATTTACATATACACACATGTGTCTTTATCACAAAGCTGCACTTGCGTGAAAAAATAGATTTTATTATTTTATCTAAAATTCATGTAGAACTTAGAATTAATATGATTTATGTCCAATAAGCCAGGGGTGTCCACACTGTGGTTCGAACCTACAACCCTCAGATTTAAAATCCAACGCTCTACCGACTGAGCTAAAGGGTTAACCCACCATCTAATGCTAGTAGGAGCGTGGCCTCACTATATACAACGCATAGCCACTTTAACTCTGTTACAGATTAATTGTACTAATAAAAGTGAATTGTACTGAATACGTCACTCATTTACAGGAATATTTTATGAAACATTGTGGCGGTAGTTTCTACATTGATTGAAATATTTGTCCATATAAAGATGATATTTAATACTACATGCATTTATTTGTATTACACGTACTAGTGACTACATGCATTTTCTTAAAGGACTTAACAAAATTTGATATACAGCAATCTAAATAGTTTGCTACTTTTTTCAAAGTGGAGGGGGAAGGGCAACTTCAGAAAAATTCCTGCGTACCACTGGCCTGTGCTACATGTGTAACATCTGACTTTCCAGTAATAAAGTCCTCTGTACAAATCCAAGACAGATGTGTCAAATCCAAGCTTATATGGGTTATCAAAATTAACATGATTAACCCCAATTTTTTTTAAATAAGAAAACTATAGGCCTATCGAGATAGAATTTAACATTTGTGCTTATTAAGTACTATCAATCAAAGTAGCCAGATCATTGTAGAAAATGTTAAAGAAGGGTTAACCTGTGTCACCTTTCACTTTTTTTCAGAGTAAACAATGAACTCGTCCATGCATTGATGGTTGTTGGAAAACTTACCAGAGATTCCTTCGCAAACAAAAGTGCAAAATCTCTGTATAGAAACTGTTGCAGCTGCAGAGCATCATTCATTATTCCTTCGCCATAGAATATAACATTTAATATTGTGGAATATAAGGACATTTTCAAGATAAGCTTCGAACAGGTCAAATAACTCGGATTTCCTCCAAAATTATTTGCATACTCCAGGGTTATTAGAAAATGCCAGTCAGTGCTAAGGCAATAAAATCAAAGTGTACTATATACTTTACCTACACCAACCACTGAACCTATCAGCACCCGGTGTTTTCGACAGAAATCCAACATTTCTTCAAATTCGAATATCATTTTCTTTCAATCCAAACCTGTTTACATAAGGTTTGCAATAAATGGTATACCAATCCCGATAAGAAAAGTTATGACCTGTTTTAAAAAAAAAGTTTTGTTATTTTTTTTTCTCCTTTTTTGTTTTTTTTTTTTTAAATATATATATATACTTAAATAAAAAATATTGAGTTTCTTTACAATATTTAAGATAATTTAAGATTTATTTATGAAAATTCTTTACCATTCCTCTACATGTAAGTGATCTGAGGCAGGCCCTCTGGACTTGGTCTGTTGTTGCTGTACTACATAAAAAGATGATCTTTGATGGTACATTATTTACAGGCACGTAGCCGGGGGTTGGGGGGGGGGGGCTGGCCTCTTTTTCCAAACATAACATTTACTATTGAGAATGTTCATTGAAAGGCCGGTTGCACCCCCCCCCCTTTTTGTTGCAGTATAGTCAAATAAGGGTAATTTAGTAAAGTATGAATAATGAATAAAATTTGGTACTGAAAGAAGTTGGAAACCTACACCCACCCACGAAATAGGATTTTTGATTTTTAGACAATTTTTTTTTTTTGCTTGTCAAGTTTTAGTTTTTTCAGGTAAGTTGATTTATTTTCTCTGGCTGTCCCCTTTCAAATACGTCTCTGATTTACCAGCATAAGTGTGTCTTTGTCAGCTTTTGATATGCACATGTAGGTACGTAGCATGTCCGTGAAATTCGAGATAAAGGTACTTCTTAAACTTCTCTTATGTTAATTGTAAAAGGGTTCTTCTGGAATTGTAAAATGTGGTTAAATTGAAAGAAACATAAAACTGAGGACCTTGAATCACTATTTGTTATAACAGACGACCACTTCCTAAACAAACAGTGTTATTTTCTGAAAGTGTGCGTCCATATTCATTAATTTGCTTTAAATATTGACAGTAGTTTAAAAGTCAAATATTGATCTAGGACCAGTTTACAGTTGTATGTGATTCATGTACGGATTTTTTTTTTCGCTTTTGAAGAAAGCCATTTTTTCTTTGTCGGTATGAGTCCTACCTAAATGAAAAACGTTTGAAATGCAAGTTATTTTCTCTTCTTTGACTTTATTTTTGTTCATTGTGCGAACAAATGGAGAATGTGTTGATATTCTTTCTGGGTGCTATAAGTCTTGTGTGACCAATGATGACTGCAGTGTATCACAGGGCTACTTTTGTCAACAACAGCAATGTCAAGGTTTGTGTTCACTCCACATATATACAGTATGTGTATTATAACTAGAATTTATTCCCCTTTATCCTCAACATTGTTTGTTGTTTCAATCAATCGTTTTCTTGGTCAAAACATATGTTGTTGTTGTTGTTGAAAATATACGTTTCTGACCATTCTCAACACAGGCAACTCATATCTATACATATATATATAGTCAAAATTATACTTTGTTTTGCTTTTTGAACACAGTAATTGTTTTTATGTAGGAACTAAGTGATTTCTTATGATTGTTACAAAGTCGTGAAAATACAATGTACGTGAAAATTGTGTAAAATCACTAACTTCCTTATTTATTAACTAAGGGGCTAATTTCCATTGGCTTCGCGAAACAAAGAGCCCTTAGAATTTATATTCTTAAAGAAATGTAAAACTTTCAAACTACAGTGGCGTATATTCCTATCTGCTAATGTGTAGGCTAGTGAGAAGTCATAGATTTAACCTGAGGCGCAAAGTGTGGCTACGCAAAGAGAAGGTCGCCCCCTCCTCTCGAAAGGGATTGGGGGAACAGGGGGGGGGGGGGTCGGTGGGATCTTTTTTTGCGAAGACATCTACGATTTGACAAGTGAAAATGATATTGTAAACATTTTATTTTCAGTTTATATCATGATATGAAGACTACTTAACAAAATTTAGAACTTTTAACTTATTTTTACTCTGCTTAGAAAATATGGAAACTTCTTTACTGAATAATCTAAATACGATCAAAACATTTAATTTCCTACTAACCAAAAATATATTTTAGTAATATTTATTTCATTTCCTGCACTAATCATTAAGCTATTATAAGTGCATTTCATGGGCATTTTCGCCTACTCTACGTAGTGGTTTCTTAAATACATTTATTTACCCTACATTTTATACAGTCTTAGTTCATGTTAACTCAAATTAAACAATAATGATATTTAAATTTTTATAGTTCCCTTATATGATAAATATGAAAATCACATCCGTTTGAATGAGAGCAAAACTTGGTTATAAAGAACTCGTTCATAAGGAAATATCGGTTATAAGGATTTAAAAAAAAAAAAAATCACTTTGTTACTTATATACGGATATAATGAATTTCGGTTATAAGGAAGCAAAATTCGAGGTCCCACTAATACCGAGTTTTACGACATATAGAGCAAATATTGAGGTTTCTACCTAAACTATGACAAACTATTGCCAAAGACCATCCATAAGCAGAAAACAACAATGCATTTCATTTCATTTAAGCTTAAATAATTTTGGTTAAAGGTGATCTTTACAGAAGCCCATTTAGGACCTATAAAAATATTTTTGAATTCGAATATTGTCGAATTAGTTGACACATATTTCATTCGTTATAACATAATTTTTTTGAATTCGTTTTATAACAAATTAAATTTGTTATAACAGACTTGTTGATAACGAATTCAAAAATTTGTTATTAATAGCAGTTTAAATTCGTTTAAACGAATTCTTAAATTTGATATTACGAATTAATTTCGTTTAAACGAATTCTTAAATTTATTTTTACAAATTGAATTTGTTTAAACGAATTAAATAATCGGTTATATCGAATTCATAAATATTTTCTATAGGCCCTTAATGTCAAATTCGATTAAACAAATTTATTTTGTCTTTTAAAATTCTATAAACTAAGTCATTTGGTGACTCATTTATATCGCTATTTTTTATGTAAAATAACGCATACATGTCTAATTTGGAATTTTTGTTACACCTAGGGAAGTGCAACCTTAAAGCTGAAGTAAGCAGTAAAAACGCTACCTTGACATGGACAGATTTCAAACCTCAGAATTATCAGTTCGAGTATAGTATTGCTTTCTCAAAATCTTTGAAGTTACAGCTAATAAAATGGACAAAGTTAGAAGTAAGTATTGGCCAAAATCAATTTGCAGGTTATAAATAATAATTAAAAGGTGGAAATAGGTCGGATGTCTTTATGATTTTTTGCTTTAAGGAAGCTCTAAACTATACTGAAAAATGTTTTTTTGGACTTTGAGAAAATTGTATCCTATTAAAGTGTCATATTGATTTTATCTAGTTAATTTCAATGTAGGGTACCTGCCATATTTCTCCAGGAAAATTGTTCAAAGACAATGAAGTACAAGTAAACAGAAATTACTGTTGTTTACTTACATCGTGAAAATACATGCATAAAATGTTGTAATTACTTTATTTTGGTCTAATATAATGTTACGAATACTTTAATCAATTTCAAATTGTGTCATTTACTGTGTATTTTCATTTATTTTTTGTTCATCGAAGGGCGGATCACTCTAACTGCATAAAACTACCAGGTAATTAGAACTCTTCTGTGAGCAGTGTTCAGAGCTTCCTTAAAGGTTGGGTGTTTTTATGATTTAGTGCTTTATAGGTCGGGTGTCTTTATAATGTTTTTATGCTTTATAGGTCGGGTCACTTCCGGTTTTCTCACTGTATGATCTTACTCCTGGAACCATTTATTATGCTGCTGTTGGAATATGGAAAGACAGGAACTTCACGGAATATAAAGAAACAAGCGAAATTATATCATTTCAGACAATAGGTACATGTATATGTACTCCTTTTACTGGGTTTTAGTGGGATTCGAGGGGCGGATCGAGGTTTTGAAGTTTAGGGAAAAAAGGGGTCTGATTAGACAAAGGGGCTATGTTTCTAAAGGTTTGGCAGGGGAAAACTGAAGTCGACTACATAACATTTTATACAAGTTTTGAAGTCCTTGTTCAATTTCACGATTAGTGATGCCAATTAATAAAATTATGAATATTTTAAGGTCTGTGGAATCAAAGATTAGATATCAAGGCCCAAGAAGCTCCTGCCTTGAAAAATAAAGAAACAAAGCCTTATATTTATACAACTTTATTATTTCAAAATGGGAACCATAATTGATGTGCCATGAATTTGAACATTCTTAAGGGGTGGGGGTGAGGTGGTAGCCCTTTTAATCATCTGCTGCTGGATTTATATTTTCGGCACCGTTAATGCATCAATTCATGGAATCATAAGTTAATTCTTGTCAATCATTTACTTTGATTGACAGCAACATTATTTAAATTTAAAAGTGGTGCTTACACAAATGTCTTTCATTAGTATATATATTGAAGAGTACCATTCGATAAAAGACAGAGGAAGGCATCTATTCATTTGATAGTCAAAGGTCAAATGCAAAGTTACATAATCATTCCCTGTTCAGAAGGTCAGGTCAAACATATTGAAAGGTGTTATTTAAGCTGTGGACACAATTGCATCTCCATCTGTCATTCTGTCTATGTATATTAACACTTTCGTTCCAGATGATATCTTAAAAAGCCTCTGAGCTTTTGCAATGAGATTTTACATCGTAACTTCCTATGACTTGAAGATGACCCCTATTGACTTTGAGTTCAAAAGGTTGAAAGCCAAGGCCAGAGATTTTTAACTTGCATAAAATGGTTTCCAGATGATAATTTAAGTTCTCCTTGAGCCTTTTCAATGACATTTTATACCATTAGTCAGTTTGAACTAAAGAAGAACCCTATTGATTTTTAGGTCAAATGGTCAAAATCAAAAATTCATATATTGCAAAACATAGTTTTCAGATAATAACTTTAGTTCTCTGAGCTTTTGAAATAAAACTAATAAAGACATAATTTTTTTAACATAAGAAAAACCTGTTGATTTTAAGGCCAAAAATGAAAGTTAAGGTCAATCTTTCTTCCTTTGTCCATCTGCATTTTTAAGGTCTTCCACCATCTTTTTTTTTTATCTTTAAGCAAGGGGGGGGGGGGGGGGGCATAAATTCCCTGAATTAACTTTTTAAAAAAATTTCAGATGCAGATTTCTGTATACTTGGAAGAAGAAGACTCAGAGTTGGTGATATTCTTACCAATGACTGTGAGGACAGATGTGTTTGTCAGAGTACTGGAGAACTTAGATGTGAACCTATATGTAAACAATACCAAAACCAGGCTCCAGAAACCAAACATAGCAATTGTCATAATGAGACCAGTCCAGATGGTTGCTGTACCTACACCAAATGCTTACCATTATTGCAAATAGGTCTGTTTAGGAAAAGAGAGAGCAATTTGATTTAATTTGCTTTTTTAATTCAATGGGCTCTTCAGATGCCATATTTAAAAAAACGTATTTTTTTACATCAGGCTCAAAACAAACATCCAGTATTCCTAATCCAGAAGATTTTGTCAGCATCAAGATTCTACAAAAATCCAGTGAATGGGTCAAACTGAATGTTAGTTTTACCCCCCTTCCTGTCATTAGCTTGGTTCTACTTTACATAAGACAGACTGATAAAGAAAACAGTACACTGGAGATTGATACAGAGAACTTCAGCAGTAGGCTGTATCTAATAGACAGACTCTGGCCGGGACTTCAGTACTCAGTGTGGGCAAAGATTGTACTGAGTGACAACCAAACTGTCTTCTCTCCTAAAATCTACTTCAACACAACAGATGCTGAAACATCATCCTGTTTGAATTGTACTCAGCATAGGATTGTAAATGGTAAAGATTTTCGTGACTCTTTCATGCAATTTAATATAATTACATGTATTTATTTACACTGTAAAGTTTCATAACAGTTCTCCATTATATAATGTTTTCATATGGTTTTCTCTATGTATACAGTTTTCATGTGGGTTTCTCCATGTAAACATAAAAATTTAATACTATTAAATTATTTTTTTCCTCCAAAATTATAATTATACTCTCTCATTCTCTCTCTCTCTTGTAATTCTATATATGCACAATTCTGTTATAGAAAAGATAATGGCCATTTTGTATAGTAATACTCTTATTTTGTCTAATTTTTATCTTGTATCAAAATGCAAAAAATCAAAAAACTTCTATGAATTAAATTCTAAATAAAAATTCCTCTGTAACAACTGGTTACAAAAGTGGATTAATTATTTGACTTGGATAGCAAGGAATGCAAAATAATTCTAAAATTACCATTCCAATTAAGTTACAAAAAACTGTAAACTCCAGTGGTTTCAGTACAGAATTTTAATTAAAATATTGGCAACTAATTCTTTTTTATTCAAAATCAGAAAGGTTGTTTCTAAGCAGTGTAATTTTTATCAAAAAGAAGAAGAAGAGAAAATTGGGAATGTGATCTTGTACAATCACTCCTTGAAAACTTTGAATATTATCTCCAACAGAGAAACCTCCATTTACCCATAACAAAAAAATCATTTATTTTAGGTATTGGAGAAAAAAATAATGAAATAGCTAATATCTTAATCTTATGGTAAAAATATTATATTTACACTTCTAGATGTACTGAAAAACCTCTAAATTTGCACTATGCGATATCACACTTGAGTTATTTTTACCAAACAAAAATTTATATCATATAAAAATGGTGAAAAGAGAAATTTGACACTCAGTGGAACCAGCTATTTTGGTAACTCTCTCTCTCTCTTGTAATTCTATATATGCACAATTGAATTCGGTTATAGAAAAGATAATGGACATTTTGTATAAAATGAATTGTGTTGAAAAAATAAAATAATTAAAATAAAAAAAAATGAAAAATTTAATACTATTTACCCCTTTATACTTTCAGCATTCACACCACCCACCTCCCATACTGGTCTATACATTGGTCTGATTACTGGACTTTTATCAGCCATTGCAATTTTCTGTTCCGTTCAAATCTTTCTACTTCAGAGAAGAAGGAATCACCAGAGATCCAAAAGGGAAACACTGTTCTTTGTGAATTCAACATTTGGGGTAAAATTTCTTTTGTAACCATAATAAACCCTAATCAAGAGGCTCATAGGCCACAATGCTCACCTGAGTCACTATGGACCTGATGTTTATCAGCAGATTTTTCCCCCTTTATATTCCTATGTAAAACTTTGTGGCTCTACCCTATCCCTGTGGTCATGATTTGAACAAACCTTAGTAACACTACCTGAGGATGCTTCAATATCAATATAAATAATTATGCCTTTGCTGTTCTTGACAAGATTTTCTCTGATTTTTTCTTTATATATCCCTATATAAAATTTCAATCATCCTTGTGGCCCTACCCTACCCTGTGGGGTAATGATTTATACAAATTTTAATCTACACTTCCTGAGGATGCTTCCATATCAATATGAATAATCATGCCTTTGCTGTTCTTGAGATTTTTAAAGTTTTTCCTGTATATTTCATAGTAGCCCTGTCCTACCCCTGAGGGTCAAGATTTGATAAAAAAAACTTTAATCTACACTATATAATGAAGCTTTCACATAAGTTTCAACTCTTCTGGTGCAGTGGTTCTTAAGAAGATTTTTAATTTTTTTTGAAAATTCCAATGTGAAAATTGGATTGCCTATTGTGGCCCCACCCTACTCCCATGATTTGAACAAATTTGAATCTGCACTATGTAATGAAGTTTTTATGTAAGATAAGATGAAATGTGAGATGAAATATTTCCATGCTTAACATCTAATGAATTTGACAATTTATTCCAGGCTGACAGACTGGTGAAAGATGGAGAATTACACATATGAAACCAGATTTGTGACCAAAGAATAAAGGTTATTTGAAATGAACATTGAAAATTTTTTAAGGAGATCTCTTTTTTCAATTCTTTCTCATTGGGGGCTTGGTTATTAACAGGTATGTTACTGATGATCTTCAACACACTGATGGACAGACAGACAATATATCTCATCAGTGGTTTAAAAGGGGGGGGGGGGTAGTTATAATAACACCTTTTACTACCTAGTGGGTTCATAAAATTAATGCTATATCTGTCTTTGGGATTCAATGCCTTCCATAAAGATTCTTGACTTCCATTGATTACCATTAGTATTTCATAAGTAACACATACTGTATACAGGGAAATTTTTGACCCAGTTTTATTTTCGCCCCTTTCGCTCAACTCACAGTTGGGTGAATTTAAAACGGGGCGAATTCAAAGAACACAATATAATTTCTTAAACAGAATTGCAACTGGGTGAAATTAAAACAGGGCAAAATTGTTAGCAAGTGTGAAAGGGTGAAAATAAGCCTGTATACAGTACAACTAACATTCAATTCCAGATGTGGAGACTAAGGCTATATATAAAAACATTATTAAGTACTTTCTTTTCTTGGAATTCTAACCACCAACATCTGTATGGCAGTCTATCCAACTATAAGATGTCATACCTGTTAACAACCAAGCCCCATTTTGGAACTTTTTCTGATTAACACTGAAGACCTTAAATTAGGACTTTTCAACAATTAAAACAGATAGCCAGTAAAGTATTAACAAAATTTTATTTCCTGATTGTATTTCATTATAACAAAGCATACTAATTATAACAAAAAATAATACTCATTAACTCGATTTTTTTTATGATTGTAGTGGAATAAAACAGCATGACATTAATGATGGACACACAGTAAGCAACTACATGTATCACCAGTGATGAAAAACAGACTAGAAATATATTGATGATACAGATTATAAAATGTCTTCTTGATTAAATGATGTACTTTTATTATAAATCACAAGTTAATTTTTGTTTGGTTATTTTTAATTATGTCAATCTGCTCTCTAAGTTACCCTTTTGAATCTGACAGCAATTTTTTTTTTAAGTCACTCAAAAAAGTGTGCTTCGTCCATCTAAGACAGACCAACAATTTCCTCAGTCTCGGGGTCAATATCGATGTCGTAGAAGCATGGACGTGTGGGTAGTCCAGGCATAGTTGTCATCTGCCAAGGAGAAAATAATTAGAATATACCATTGTATAAAGTGTTAAATGTGCTTAAAATATACTACACAATAAATATTCACTGTTAAGTATTTCCAAGGACATACTTTTCAACATAAAGCATGTTTATTTCTTGAGACTTACGATCAAATAATGGTACATGTAGTACTCTTTTAAAATTGTTCAAATTTACATTTCCTCTTGTGCAAATTCTAAACTTGTCAACATTTAATTGTTGTCAATGAGTGTTTGGAACCTACACGCAGGATGTACGTACATATTAAATGTAATAACAGCTGTTTGATGAAACTTAAATCTAATATTAAATACCCTAGCTAGCTTTACTATGATAAAACACACATATCAGTTATTTCTTGTAATACCAAGATTACATGAAACTACATGAACAAATATGGAAAATGGATTTTCCCCCACTTTCAGACCATCTGTTGTCTGTCACAAAACTGTGTCCCTTTGTATGTATTGTGTTTTGTGTATAGCTTTGGAACCCTTGGCTAAAATTCAAACTTAATAAGTATTTTGTGGCTAATCTTTAAGGGTATGTAACATTGACTTAAAGGTCAAGGTCATGGTATGGAAGAAGTGGTGAGACACCTGTTTTTTCTACCCCCTCTCCAAAAAAAAATCCACAGATTTTATTTGCCAAGTCTCTCAAAGTAACTATTCATCATTTCTTTTTAAGGACAATTTTGCATCAATTTCTAATTATTACCAGTACATGTATTTATTTGTTTCAAGCCGATATTTACACAAGCAAAAGAATTAACAAAAAAGTTTTTGCTGGTCACTGGAAAATTCCTCGAATTGATAACCATGGAATTGAAAAATACACAATGAAATATATTTTAATTGCTGAAGTGAGAAACAAAATACAGTGAAACTTGTCTAATCGGGATGTTGTGTATTCCGAAATCTTCCCTAATATGATCTTATAAACTTTAAGTCCCTTTCAGTAAATTTCATTGTTTAAAATGATGTCTTATCCGGAATGTGCTCTAATCCAGCCAATTTTTCTGGAACCAGTGATGCCCAGATTAGACAAGTTTTACTGTAAACATTTTATACCTGGGTTGATCTAGCAAGGGGGGGGGGGGGTGTTTAATGTTAATTGTTAAATTACATGGTAAACTTGGCTGAAGAGGACCCCTCTGGAAAAAGAGGACTTGTCCACAATATGAAGCCAGAAAGACCCGTGCATGATGTAATGCAGCTTTTCTGTGAGGTCATTTCACATTAAAATGGTAATGAGAATTCCTCCTAAGTAGGAAGACGGATACATACAAGAAGTAAATCAGTTTTTCTCTAGTCATGTCATGTTGCATTAATTTGGTAAACAGAAATTCTAATGAGTAGGAGGAAAGATATAAACATGACAAAACGCCACGCATTTGTGAAATCTGAAATATGTTTTTTAATCAAGCCACACAGATATCCTCTCCAGGATTTAGGTAAATTAAATCATATGCAAATCGTGTCATTTTCCTCAAAAATTGTAAAAAAATTTTGCTAGAAGTTTTAGAAATTTAACAACTTATGCAAATTTTTCTAGCAAAAAATAAAGGATTGGGTATATAATACATCTACAGATACTTGAGAATCAATACATTGAAACATATGTTCAGGAAAATAGTCATTCATACCAGGAAAAACTATTTTGTAGGAAATTTATGCAGGAAGATTAAAATAATGGGAAATGTTCAAACTATATCTCGAACATCCAATATTCCTAACCCTAGTTTAGAATGTGAGACAGAAACAAAAATGATTGCAGAAGCAAATGAAAATGATGATTCACCAGATATCCCTGAATGCAAGGATATCGTTGAATTGTTTGAACCACCTAAAAATGTTGTCATAGTGGCTGCCCAAGGACTGGACTTCTCAGCAACCGTTGTTGCTGCTCAAGACATTCTGCGATGTGATTTCTGCTGTGAAGATGATGTGGTCGCTGAAATGTTCTGTAAAACCTGCGCCATGCGCTTGTGTAGTTCTTGTGTCAGTAAGCACATAGAGACGTCATCCGTCTCTTGTCTCCATGATATTGCCAGGTACAAATCTAACAAAGATTTCATGAGACCTATTTGTGTGTTGCACTTGGATAATAAGTGTGAGATTTTCTGTAATGAGTGCAATGGTCCATTCTGTTCGCAGTGTTTGTCTGAGGGACTACATAAAAATCATGACATCACCGGAATTTGTGGTACCTATGCATTACTAAGAGAGAAAATACTGAGGGACACTGCTTACTTGGAAAAAAATATGATCCCAGAATATGAGAAGAACGGGTCCCAAATGATCAAAAGAATTGAAGAATCAACAAAGAAATATGAGGATACAGCAAACACCATGTGTCAGATAGGTCTTGAATGGCACAAGCACTTAGAATTTGCAATAGTGCACCACAAAGAAGAGATTCAGAAGATGAAAGAAAAAGATCTCGAAACCCTAAATCAGTGCCATGCATCCCTGTCGGTTCCATTGGCAGACATCAAAGGAACTATTGAAGAGAATAGACAAATCATAAATTCTCTTGACTTTAACAGACTTTTTGCATACAGATCTTCTGTTGAAAATTTTAGAAAAATTCCCCCTTTGGCTGAAATCAATCCTGGAAATTTTGAACAACACACAACACTGCTTCATCAACTTGTTGAACTTATTGGCAAGTTAGGAAATTCTAAAACAATTAATATCCCTGGATATACAATCAAGATTCACAAAAATCCAGTTCTACTGGCCTCTTTTCAGAGCAAATACCGAAAAGGGGTCAGAAGACTGAGGTGCCATGGAGAAAAGACTGTATGGATGTGTGGATTTTATGACCGTCTTCTGAAATTTGTTGACCTTCAGGGTACAATGATTCAGAAAGTTATCTCCAGGCAAGTTCCTGTATGCATGACGATAACCAGCCAGCGTGAATTGATTTATCTCGAAGATCACAGTGTAAATACCATCAAGGATGGTGAATGTGTGTGTCTGTTCCGAGTCCAAGACTGGAATCTAAGATCCATATGTAGCACAGTGTGCAATCAATTGCTTATTGGTATGACAAATTCGAGTAAAACTGAAGGAAAGGTTGTTCGATACGCTGGAACCAAACTCATATCTGAAATTCAGCAAGATTCTGATGGCAACATCTTATTTCGCTTGCCCTATTTCTTGGCCGAAAACAGAAACCTTGATATTTGTGTCACAGAGGTCACCTTGCAAAAGGTGTTGGTGACAGACAAGACTGGGAGCTTACGATTCACCTACAGTGGAAATAGTGCAGTGAAAAACACATTTAAACCAATGGATCTTGCCTCTGACAGCAAGAGTCAAATTCTGGTTGCAGACAGATCTAATAACTGTATTCATATCATTGATCAAGATGGACACTTTGTGAAGATAATTGACAGTTTTGGTTTGAAGGAGCCTTTCAGTATCAGTGTGTCTGCTAAGGATGATCTCTGGGTTGGGGAGGGTAGCTCTGGTATGGTCAAAGTCATTAAATATATGGAGGAGTGAATCTTGAACCAGTGTCTTAAAAACTGAATAAATATTTAAAATATCATCTATGTATCTTCAGATACATAATAAATAGAGATATATTGGTGGGGAAGAGAGCTAAAAGGGGGTGGGGGATTTTTTCCCTTCAAAATCATGATTACCATGAGGGCATTTGTTTATGAAAAAATAAAATGCATGTACACATGAATTTTGGTATCTTGAAAACCGGTATCTCCACAAATATGTCAAAGTGATTTTGAAGTCCCAAGCTCTTTTTAAAAAAGTATTTTACCCTCGATATCTCAAACCCTCTGATATCTTTTTTTTCTCTTGATTCCATTGAGTTCAAGATACAGAGGTTTGAATGTAACTGGGTTTGTAATATTTTTTTGGATCTTTTAATTCCACAGTGCTAAAATTTAATAATTTGTTATGAAGGTACAAATCATGATGGTTTTAATTTCACTCTATAGGTGTTAGCCATGTGACAGATATGTTATGTGTAGTCTAATAACTTTTATATTCATTCTGAATTTGATTTTGTAGAAAACTGATGAATCATGAACAGTGAAATTAAAAACACTGTGTTATTTTTCCTATATACTTAAGTACCCTTTTATCTTTCAGAAGTAATTTTCAAAGGGAAGGGGGGGGGGGGGGGGGGAGGTATGCAAATTTTCCCATATAGTATACTGTGGAATCATCAGTATTCATGGGGGAACAATGTTCATGGATTTTGTGGGTGACCCTTTCCAATGAATTTAGATCCCTATGAATGATAACTATGACCATGAATCAGGTGATTAAATCTTCCATATATATGAGTTACCCAGTATGAGTACTCAAGAATCGGCAAAATTTTGGTTATCCACAAACACTGACACAAATAAAATAATTCTAAAAGAATTCTACATGTACATGTAGTTCACAGTCTACCCAGTATGACAGTTATTCATATAAAATGCTAATTGATAAATGCCTAAATAAAGGGTGTCTCCTTGATACAGTTTGAGACTCATGTGTTTAGTTGAAAAGTTAGAGGGGAATCTCTCACTACTTGGTCAAACACTCAATATACTACATGTATATATTTAAGTACTGTATTCAAAAAGTTTTGAGACTTGTTCTTTGAAACAATAACCAAGCTATATCATTCAATAAAATTTTCTACATTATTTAACTTTAAAAATAAATTTATACAAAAAAATATTTAGCTCAAGTGAGCTGAAAGCTCAAGTGACCTTTTCTGATCACCCATTGTCCGAAGTCCGTTTGTCTGTCCGTCCGTCTGTAAACTTTTTACATTTTCAACTTCTTCTAAAGAACCACTAGACCAATTTTAATCAAAATTGGTACAAAGCATCCTTAGACAAAGGGGAGTTAAAATTGTAAAAATGAAGGGCCTAGCCCCCTTATAAGGGGAGATAAGAAAAGACAAAAACAGGGTAGGGTCATTAAAAAATCTTCTTTTCAAGAACGATTGGGCCAGAAAAGCTGAAACTTATGTGGAAGCATTCTGGGGTACTGCTGATTCTAAATTACTCAAATTATGACCCAGGGGGTAGGGAGGGGCCACAATAGGGAATCCAAGTTTTACCTTGAAATATATAGGGAAAATCTTTTAAAATCTTCTTCTCATGAACCACTAGGCCAGAAAAGCTGAAACTTATGTGGAAGCATCCTGAGGCAGTGTAGATTCTAAATTGTTAAAAGCATGACTCCCAGGGGTAAGATGGGGTCACAATATAGGGACGATCTTTAAAAATTTTCTTCTCAAGAACCACTGGACCAGAGAAGCTGAAACTTATGTGGAAGCATCCTAGGGTAGAGTAAGATTCTAAATTGTTAAGATCCCCAAGGGTAGGGTCTTGCCACAATAGGGAATCCAGGTTTTATATTGAAATATATATACTGAAAATTTTTAAAAATCTTCTTCCCAAGAACCACTGGGCCAGAAAAGCTGAAACTTATGTGGAAGCTTCCTGAGGTAGTGAAGATTCTAAATTGTTCAAATCATGGCCCAATAGGGGTAGGGTGGGGCCACAATAGGGAATCAAGGTTTTACACTGAAATATAAGGAAAATAACTTTAAAAAATCTTACTCTCAATAACCACTGGGTTAGAAAATGTGAAACTTAAAGAGGAAATCTGAAGAACAGCAGAGCCAAAGATACTCAGGTGAGCATTGTGGCCCATTGGCCTCTTATTTATATATCATAACAAAATCATTTGAACTTTTTTAAAACTCAAAAATAAAACAAAATGCTTAATTCATTTTCATGGTTAATTATTATTCAAAAACATCAATGTTGAAATATTTCTCAATGTACGGGAATTTTTTGGGTCACAATATGTGACATTCTAAGAACTGACAGATTACTGAAATGGGATGTAAATCAAAATATAAAGCAAACAAATTCCAGGTTTCATGCACTTTTTGAATCTATATCCTCACTAACAGGAAGCAAACTGAAGTGTGAACTCTTCATTGTATTTCACTGTATTTCCAAAGTACAATGTACACACCAGCACAGAACTTTGATAACAGCTAAAACACTTTAAAATTTATAATTAATTTTTCAAATTTCTTACCGTTCCAAGGAGTGGGAAAATAAAGCCTGCTCCAATACTGGCTCTAACTTCTCGGATTGGAACCACAAACCCTTTTGGTTCTCCTTTCCTGGTAGGGTCATGTGATAAGGATAAGTGAGTTTTGGCCATGCAAATTGGCAAATCATTAAAGCCCTGAAAAACAAACAACAGACATATTCCAAATAAGGAGGAGTTTGATAAGGCTCATATCATAATTAATTGCTATCAAAGAATAACTAATTAATGGGATTCAAGACTTCAAAACTCCTGCCAAAGCTAAACATCGATCAGCTCAACAAATAGTCAAATATCCCTTGAAACAGAATTTTTCCATAACTATACTAGATATGATGCAAAACTTTGGTAAAAAAAAATTTAAAACACAACTTTCTGCTGTATCTTATAAAGAGACTTTACAAGCAAAATCTAAAAAAAAAATGAATGAAGAATTAAAATTATTTCTGAATGGTTCTGCAGATAGTTGACATCATCATTTCATAAAATTACTGTAGTTAACATTTTACCTGGCTCTTATATCTGTTAATCTGCTCCTGTGCCAGAGGCAGCACCTCGATCCCGTCAGCCCCGTAAATCTCTTTACAGATTGTCTCTATCTTCTCCTCTATTGTTAACTGCATTCAGAAAAAAAAATCACATTTTTTTAGTACAAAGTAAATAGGAAACACCTGCATTTATATATATGTATAAATATAAATGTTATATATTTGTCCTCAAGGATATCTTGTTTATTAAGGGAAGATCCTAGCTTTATTAGTAATACAACCACCAAACATTGTAACCCTCAATACATGTGTTATTCCTAACATGTAATCTAAGCAATCTTGTTACTGTCTGATACAAGTACATTGTATCACAGCAACTGAAAGCTTCAATCAGAATTAAGCAAAATAAATGAAAACTAAATACTCAAGAGGACCAAAATTTAGCATACAATGATACATGTGATTGTTTTACTTGCAGAATGGAAAATTTTGTGACTATGCAAACAAGATGGAAGCAAAGGTGTCCTTACTTTGCAAATTCAATACCTATACCATGAAAACTGTCTAATCTGACACCTGTGCAATCCATTTCACTGTGAATTCCAACTTTTATTTTTTTTCCATTTAACTATTTTCCATGTTCTTCACACTGTGCAATCTGGCATCCTGTTTATTCCGATACAAAATTTTTCTCCCAGTGCATGTCAGGTAAAACAAGTTTCTCTGTATAATTATTTTCAGTCCATTAAAAGTACAATTTTGAACAGTTACCTTGACATCATAGAGGAACCTGAAGTTGCTTGGTTGACTGGTGGCTGTCTCCACAGCTTTTGCTAGGTCTGCAGCACCAGCGCCACCTTTTGCCCAATGACTGCAAATCACAGCATTGTATGCTCCATTCTTCTTGGCAAACGATTTCACCAGCTCTACTTCAGCTGGGGAATCAGTGCTGTAGGCATAAACATCAACAATGCAGAAAGTGGTTGCATATAATGGTACAGAAGGTCATTCTTTCTTAATTTAAGGTATAAAGTTTACATTCTAAAGGGAGCAAACTCTAGCAGGTGACCTATACTCACACAAATGAATTAATGGCCACAACAACTGGCACTCCAAATTTGTTGGCATTTTCTATCTGCTTTCTCAGATTTGAACAACCTTTCTCCAGAAGCTCAAGATTCTTTTTGTACAATGAGAAAGAAAACATGTTTTACATGTATGTTCTCAATTTATCTCAAAGCCTATACAATATACTATCTCCATGTAATGTGAAAATTATAATTCATCACATACCAAAAGCAAAAGGCAGCTAAATTTAATATCAAGTTCATTGCTTTTTACAGGTAATTTTAATAAATTCCTCTCAAGTCTTAAATATATATATTTTTCTTGCAATTAATGGTTTTATTACTTTGCATATTTTACAACAGCTTATGACTTTTTCACTATAGATGAAAGCAGTGACTAATATTAAACCTTCACACAGCTAGGACAAACTGACCTCTTCTGTGTAAGCTTTGGGCAGTGGTACTCCTGCAGTGACTGTGGGGCCACCCCCATGCATTTTGAGTGCTCTCACTGTCGCCACCAGCACCACAGCATTGGGGACCAGCCCAGAGGTCCTGCACTTGATGTTGAAGAATTTCTCCATTCCAATGTCAGCACCAAAACCGGCCTCAGTTACTGAAAATAAGCATAACAATATGCATAAATTTGTAGGTATTGCTCTATATGGTACTGCAAAAACTACATATTTTGATGATTTGACATCATAAAGATGTTTTTAAAAAAAGAATGATAGAAAAGAAGGAAAGAGCTAGGTTCACTTTACGCATAAAATGGCCCTGTAGATATTCCAATTTATTGACTAACACTTTATGTTCCATTTTATACATCAAGATAAAGTAGAGACTTAGTGCTTTCTTTTCCTATTGAAAATTTTCTCCTTAAAGCCAAGGTATTGGAAAACAGGGTTCATGGAATTGCATTGTTCTTGAATTTTAAGGAAAACAAGTATATTTGAGTACTTTCACAGAAGAGAAATAATATGAGCGCACCCTCTGATCTAAAAAATAAAACATGTTTTGTAATCCCCAGAAATCATTTAATAGTTGCATATTTTAGATCAGAGGTTGCGCTCTATATTAAATATCGAAAAATAGCTTTAAAAATTGGCTGTATTTGTAGAGTTTTTCAGGATATGTGGAAAATGACGCATTTTGTGACGTCATAATGCATTACTAGTCAGAAAATTACGTCATTTTTGATAGATACGTAGTCATCAAAGGTCTAAATGATATTTAATGCATTGCCAACTAAAACCAAGCAGTTTCAGTTTTTCTGAAATTCACAGGGCCAAAAAAGGCCCTAAGTGAACCTTGTTCTTTAATATACACTATAGAAAGCATTACCGTTTACATCCTAACATAATCAAGTCTATAACATATACGATACATTACGATACATAAAAAGCTACATTGGTGAAAACCCTTTGCATTTTGAAAGTTGATTTAATTTTAGCTGATTTTTACTAAGAAAAGTTTTATCTGAGAACAGATTTTATTGTATAGTGTATATGTATAACAAACACATGAAATCGGCAATAATTCATTACCAACAAATCCATTTTCTCCCACAAGTTTAAGAGCTATTTTGTCTGCAATGATTGATGAATTTCCATGAGCAATATTGGCAAAAGGTCCTGCATGTACAAAGACTGGAGTTCCCTATATATAACAACAAATGAATACATTGTATGTATTTTAATGAGTATAGTCAACAGAATAACTTGGTCACATATCAATAGCTGGATTTCAGCATGGAATCAGATAGTTCCTCTTCCCTTATAGCATAATAAGAGTGGTTATTCTTTTTAAGAAATGTAAACTACAAAGGATGATGTGCCATACGGCCCCCGTTAAATTGACAAAAAATAAAATATCTAAATTTTACTCTAATTTTTGCATCCACTTAATCACTGATATGTGTACCATCATGGAATACTACTTTTACTGAAAATAGAAACATAATTTGGAAGATATTTATCTTTATTTTGAGTAGGGGTACCATGTTTACATCCTATTCCCATTGAATTTTGGTCCTGCCCCACTCTTTGAAGCCCTTGACATATACGAGTGCAATTAGGTACATTTTAGTCCTTTGGATGGTCGCTGTATTTTATTGAAATCTACCTATATGTAAAAGGAGAAAATTGTACTTAACTGTGCTCAAATGTGTTTAAAACATTGTAAAATCTGGCTGCTCTTCCCCATTATGAACAGATCAACGAAACAATTTTTTCTGACATAAGAAAAAATTTATATGTTAATCGAGGCACCGCCGTGACTTTCTAACCGACCAATCAGCTAAATGAGTTGCATTAAGAGTGAATACTACAAAAATTCTAAGGAATTTAATGCTTGGAAAAAGTCATAATTTTTTTCTTGTTTTCCAATAAACATTTTTTTTATTCATTTGAATCACAGATTAGACACGAATCTACAATTTCCCTGCTCATAATTACAAACAAATTTTTTTTAAAATATACATTGTAAATTTCATAGTTTTGTGAATTAAGTGTCTTTGGGCAAATGGCTACATGTATTCCCGAGAATCAGGGAATACATGTTTCATTGTGAATTTCTCGACCCAAAACGGTAAACAATGAGGCTCCATACGTATTATCATGTATAAAAAGTCTCTGTTGACCATTAAAAGTTTGAAATGTAGTAGAGATAATGTGTAAATTGACCTAAGCCACGTGTCTGTGATAAAATGTAAACATGTAGTAAACCAGCATGTTTCATCGTCCAGTCATCGGATTGGAGAATTGTTCTCGGTAAGCGACTATGTGCGAAATAATAACAACAGCCATATAAGGTAGATTCCTCGGACATGCATACCCCTCTATTGTACTAAGACCCGCCTATTCTGTTTTCATAAAAGATCCTATTGTCACAAACCAGGCCGAATTTTGCTCTCATGGGGTCTAAATAATCATAAATAATGCAGTAATCCTCATAATTAAAATATGTTGCAACTATTGAAACTATTCAAAAGGCATCATATTTATTCACTTTTGTTTGAAAACTATCAAAATCGTTGCAGAATAAATATAATTCGTCGTAGAAAAAGGGGCCGCAGAAAGTAGTTTTGGCACATCATCCTTTAAAGGTAATTTTTTAATAAATGAATAAAGTAACATGGAAAAAGAAAATAGATATTTGAACCCAAAGATCAGAAGAGTAAGCCTAAAATGGATCAGACATTCTAAATGCACTTAAAATTAATTCATATGAGCTTATTCAATTTGAACTATTATAGTATTTAATGATGTGTTAAGATATAGAATCTTCAACAATCTCGCAAAAATAAGGTGTTGCGACAATAAAGTGTACTCACTAGAGGTTAAATGATAGTCGCAGACTATCTAAAATTGTCGGTAGAGTGCTACCGAAAGATTGACAGAATTTTAATTCGCAGCAAACAAATCCATTTTGTGCCATTTCTATGCATTTTATAATTTCTAGAAGGGAAGATAACTTTAAATTTCAGTCATGAAAATGGCTGACGAAACGGAGACTGAGAGCTACATATGTACCCTTACCCTGGGCAATGCAGTCAGACGTTCAGAAGTGTTTATCATTTTAAACCAATCCTTTCTGTTTATAACTGCATCTATTAGTACTTGAACTTGAGTTGTATCATTTACTTAGTAATTAAAGCCTAAAGAAAACATGCCATTTATGATTTTAAACTAGAACAGTATTACAAAAATTAAACTAATTTTAGATTTATTTATTTGAATGAAATTATTAAGTTAAATTATATACTCTCCAATCATTTTTTACTATGAATCAAAAAGACGTTCCAATTTGATTTGATAATTGATCAAAATTTTCTTAAACACTTGTACTTACTAAAATATTTTATCAATGAAAATTACACTCTTGTAAAAATAATATCTAATATATTATTAATTACATATGATGCTAGTCAAATACATGGTTATGTAAATCACCAAATTTACACAACACCTTACTTTCTCGAAATTGTTTTTGGTATTTATAAGTGAGACAAAATTTTCAGGAATTTTGCTTATTGCTATATGATCTTTATGAATAGAATTAAATGCAAGAATGAAATTTTTACTAGAAGAAAGTCTCCTGTAATTATGTGAAAACAAAGTTTCTTGCAAATAAAAAGTGATTTACAATACATGTATGTGTCTGATGCATGATGAATTCACCCTACTTCACCTTAAATACTCACCTCCAGTGTTTGCATAAGATTTGGTCGGATGGCATCCTTCATCAATACAGCTAATGCCCCACTTACACCCTGGAAGAAAATAATCATATGCCAGTAAACTGCACATTTTACTTTTGACCCAGCTCTGATATATATAAGCAAAATATTCAATGTGCAGTTGTACATCATACATTGTCAGGTGCGATCATGAATATGTACTCTCTGCATGTGCATATTCAGTGATCCATCCTCAGATGATGTCATTGCTTATGCTTGCGAGGGAATCATGAATACATACCAAGTCATCTGCTGTGACTGGTACCCCTGCTTTGCTGGTTCCTACCACCATTTTCCCTAGCCTCTCTCTCATGTCTTGCAGGCCTGTTGTCAGTGCAAGGATTGCCATGATTTCACTGGCTACAGTGATATCAAACTGACACTGAAAATTTTACAAAGGTTCCATTTTATTCAGGTATTTCACTCAAATTTTTTGAATTTAAAACACTTGTAGCAATATTATACAGTCAAACCTCGTTATCTAGAACTCCATAGGACCAAGAAAAAAACTTCGAGATATTTGATGATTCGAGATATCGAGGGTAAAATGCATAAAGAATAAGATGTTGGGACTTCCAAATCACTTCGACATATCCATGGTATTCGAGATATCAGTGTTCAAGATACCGAAGTTCAACTGTATATTACTCAACTCCAATGAAATATCTTAAGGAAAAAGTTTTCCATTTTATCAACAACAGATTGATCTACACAATCTGTAAACATAATCCAAGTTCTGCTTGATTCCATTTTTACAGTTCTTTACAATTCTAACTTATATACCACAAAATCAGATTTATTAAACAATACCTCTCGGGTGTGACCTTTCTCCAGTGGCCCTTGACCAACTGTTATTTTTCTCAGGAACCGGTCATTTGTATCCATCACTGAAAATATTAGAAGTATTAACATAAGTATACATATGCATCATGTATTGTAAACAACAAGTACATGCTGCAAAGATGAAGAACAATACAGTTATTCACCAAATACAAGAGGTAGCATGAATATTGCTTTTTTGAGGTAGATTAAATGATGAAATAGACCAAATGAAATCAATATATATTTTATGATAAGATATTACAGAGTTTTGGGGATGCATGATGTTGGGAAATAAAAATGTCACAAAATAATACCTGAAGCATCATGCCATTCTTAAAATCATAGTTATTGTTAGCAAACAAAGGATTATGTTACAACAATTAGAAGAATATTTTCAGTAATGGCATGACAATGGTGGATACAGTTGAACATAATTTAAATAAATAATTACCTACAGATTTTTACCTAAATGGGGATTCACTTTATCACACATGAAGGAAGTAATTTCCAGATCAAAAACAATAATACCCAGTAAAATAATGATATTTTTTTCAGTTCTTTCCTACGAGAATACAGTTAAACTTCATTATCTCGAATTTCATGGATTTCAAATACATGGATATATCGAAGTGAATTATTTGAGTTCCAGTCACTTTTTTTTGCATTTGAACCTCAATATCTCAAGTTTTTTTTTCTTTTCTCAGTTCCATTGGGTTTGAGATATCAAGATCTTTGTGTATATATAAGTATCTACAATAGCACGTGGATTTACCTCTCTGCCATGTAATGGTGGCTGGATCAAGGTCAAGCCGCACAAACTTGTTGATTTCTTCTGGGGTTAGTTCATTAGGGTCTGTTTTGGCAATTCCAAGTTTCTATTAAGGGGAGCAACTCAATTGGTTAATTGAATATTTTTTTTCTGCACAGTGCTTCCTACTATTAACAATAAACAAAAACAATCAATTTTTCTAACTTTCTTAATTTACAACAAACTATGTTATTCATCAACTGTACCTGTAGCCTGGAAAGCTGGATTTTGGAGAAGGCACGTTTTCCTTTGTTATCGGGAACAAGTCTGCGATACAAGTCCTCGTCTTTCTGTGTGCTCTCATGAAACATACGAGCCTCAATCTGAGCTGCCAATAGATTATTGGCTGCTGTGATGGCATGAATATCTCCTGTCAGATGCAAGTTGAACTCCTCCATTGGAATGACCTGTGAATACCCCCCACCTGCAGCGCCACCTAGTAATTAAAACAGAGTATGGTAAAATATGGTCACACAAAAAACAATAAATTCCTTTAATTTCTTTCTTCACAGATAAAAATTTAGTGATTATAGGTGGATTATAAAAAGTATTGCAAAGTAAAAGTAGACAGTCTCATTTATCTTCATTATATATTAATAAAGGGATAAATATAATATTTAAAATTACAAACAGATTTCAGACAGCATTGCATGGTAAAAAGATATAAGACCTTATCCCATATTAATATTTAATGAAGATAAATGAGATTGTTTATTTTTACTTTGCAATACTTTCTAAAATCTTTCAATAATCACTTTATACTTTATCTCTTTACTTAAATATATGACAGGTATATATTTATACCTTTAATGCCAAATGTTGGCCCCTGGGAAGGCTGCCTGACACAAGCAAACACATTCTTCTTCAGTGCTGCTCCTAATGCCTGAGCCAGACCAATGGTGGTTGTACTTTTGCCCTCACCAAGTGGTGTTGGTGTTATACTGCAAAAAAAGTAGTTTAATACATTAAATATCTTGAAGTTGAGTGAAGACATTTTTGGCAAAAAAATGTTATTTTTTTATTTTATTTTTTTTTCAAAAGTCTAACAGCAAAGAATGATGCACTTATATCATTGTGATTTTGACAAAGTTAAAAATGTAATACATATACACATCCTATGTAGAAAATAAATGGAGAATAATCTCAGATAGTACTATACCCTGTAACAACAATGTATCTGCCATCTTTCTGTCCCTGTAGCCTTTTGAGGACATCCAAGGAGACTTTGGCTTTCTTCTTCCCATACAAGTCCACCTCTTGTGGGAGGAGGGCAATCTCCTTTGCTATAAGTTCCACATTCTTTGGAGTCTGTGACTGGGCAACTTCAAGGTCACTATTAATTAAGTTAAAATACATACAATGTATAAATCTGGGTTATCTCATGATCATTGGTAAGTGAAATGCCAGATAAAGTTTCAAATTCTGAATCAATGCAGTAGATGTAGCTGATTTAAACTTTGACCTCTGACCTTGGAACTGGAGTTTTGCAGTTCAAGGGCAGCAACTGTAAATTCCACACACCATTACCCTGAAAAAAAGGATACATGTATGTAATGTACATTGTACATAGTATGGAACTCATATACATGTATATGTACATGTATCAATAGATACATGTATTGGGAAAAATGAAGAAAGAAAATGTTAATCTAAATTGAAAGCATATTTTCACATTAAACCTAATAATTCTGACATCGTCTTGGGAAAAAAACTGTAGATAAGGAAAGATCACAGTATTCTTGAAGTACCCCTGATCTCTCCACCATTCTCTTGGCCTGCTCAAAAGTGTTCTGCAGTAACATAGCCACAGTCATTGGTCCCACACCCCCAGGGACAGGGGTGATCCAGGAGGCAACACTTTTAACCTCCTCAAAGGCCACATCACCGACCAAACGTTTCCCAGACTTCTTTGTGTCATCTTCAAAGATATAGATGATCTTGACAAATTTGAATATTTAATTTTTATTTTTTTTAAATAACTGAGAAATGAGAGAAATAAGGGGAGATGATTACCTGGAATGGAATTGATGCCACAATCTATGACGACAGCTCCAGGTTTCACCCAATCCCCTTTCACAAACTCTGCTTTTCCCACGGCAGCCACTAAAATGTCTGCTGTTTTCACCTTTAACAGTGGAACCATTGTGTCAATATTTTATTACTATAAAACACAATTAATGATGAAATTTTCATTTATGTGAAAGGTTGTATAGATAGATCTGCAATGCATTATAATGCAAAGTAACTCTTCTAACTCATCTTATAGAGGGTGCACAAAAAACTATGCTTTCTTAATAAATTCTGTAATACTGTACGTGTACATAAATTGGTGTATTCAAAATTTAGCATAATCACTAGGTATGGAGTTGTTGGCAAAATCATGAATTAGTGCTATATATGTCTGTAGCGTATATTGTATTTACAAATGATTTCTTAGTGGTATTCATGAATTAGCGCATTGTTGTCTGCGCCAAAGTCGCTAAAATATGAAGCCTGCTTTTTTAAGTACACATACAGTAATTTTGGTATCATAAAAATTAAATCAGAAGAAGTGAAAGTGATTTACAATAAAGTAGATGTTGTTGGAAAGCAACCATGTAAACACCTTTCATTTCTGTTACTGATTATTGAAAAAAATTCATCTGGATAAAAAAATAGGCTCAGCTAGCTTACAATATCTGGCAGATTCTGTGTCTTGGAGTGGCACACTGTCACGGTAGCATGGTTCCATTTTAAGAGGTCTGCCATAGGGGACCCTACAATCTTACTGCGCCCCAGAACCACGGCAGTTTTACCCGCCACCGACACACCTAGTGAAAATTACAACAATTATTTCACCTAGTTTTTTTTTTTAAGATTCATGGACAATAGAAGTTTTTTTTCAGTCACTTTTGATAAATAAAAAAAGGTCAATACATGTACAATACTTTTGAAGCCCCTGACAATAGCAAAGTTTAAAAAAAAAAATACTTCAACCTCCAGGGCTTTAATTCTACTGAAAGTAAACAACCCTACTTAGAATAAGTAAATTCCGAGGTGAGTACACTCACCAGATTTTTTAATAAGCTCTAGACATCCCCTTGGAGTACAAGGAAATATACACTCCTGAAGGTCACCTCTGGCCAGTTTTCCAGCATTGGACTCATGTAGTCTAAAACAGAATTACCAGTTATACTTAGTGATTATAGGTGTGTGGCATGGAAAAAGTCAAATGGTTTTAATGGGGACAAATATAATTCAATTTTAATTAACTTTCTTGCAATTTTACTGTTTTTGTGTCATTTTTTTCCATTTGTTTTATTTTCTGTGGTTCAAGTAAAAGGCAACATGAGGTAAAAAATGTTAACAAATGAGAAAGGTTTAAGTTGGTTAGGAATGACATGATTGGTAATATGCAAGTAAAGCATTATTGATTAATATATCATACTGACTATAAAATATTTCTACAAAAATTAAAAGATTTTTATCTGGAAGTATTTCATTCAATGCTTAATGAAGTTCATCATTGTTTGAAATTTTTGCACTCATAATAATTAAGAAGCAGCAAAATTGAAACATGCAATTTCTGAGATGCAAATACTCCAAGATTGGTTTAGGATATCATAACCATTAAATATTGATTGTGGGCATTGTGTACTTTAAAGAGCAGATTGTAAATAGATTATCAGTTTTAGAATTTTAAAGTGGACAGTCTTCCACATTTCAACTCCATTTTTGCACAAGCCTGTAACTCTGCCTCATTAAGCATTTATTAAGCATTTTTTCTTTCTTTCCTTTTTTTTCATCTTCCATGTTGACAGCCTGCTTATTTATTTTCTTCAAATTCTCTGAAAGTACTAAACATACCTTCATCACAGAAAGAGTTACAACAGTCAACTGAAATTGCATATTCCAGATCTACATGTATATCTAAAACACGTAAGATCATGGTACACCCTACATGCATTTTACTAACATTTATTTAAGGAATCACTGCCTAGTTTGTTGGGTATGCCAGGGCATCAATGACAGTTGGAAACATGGGATAACAGCCTGTTTTACATTATTATCCCACCTTTCCAACGGTTGTTGATGTCCCTGGCATACCAACAAACTAGACAATGATTCCTTATATTTACATTAATTTATATGTGACTGAAATAAAAGTGTAAAATTAAACAAAAAATGCTGTCTAATAGATTTAAAATACACAAGGCATTCCACGTTAATTTCCATAGTCCCTGCCCACTGACATCAGATATAAAGACAGTCATGAGAGATTGACATACGGATTAGGTACTCAAACTTTCAATGGCAATTCAATTTAAGTAATCGAGAAATCAACACACCTAACTTTCAAAGAATTATCACAGAAAAAAAGAGTTGGAAATGTAAATATTTTCTATCAGTTTTTATTTTTTGTTTGTTTGTTTAACATCCCTTTTGAAAATTTTTCACTCATTTTTAGACACCACCAATTGCCGGTGGAGGGCTGCAAATTCAGACCTGTACTCGGCACTTAAGGCCTTGAACAGTGAGGGATCTCTTTCATGCCAGCAACTACTGGGATACGGGACCTCGGTTTATACAGTCTCAAATCAGGGTCTGGTCTCCATGTCCCGCAGTGGGATTCAAACCCACAACATAAGGATCATTTTCTTACTTGTGGACTCTAGAGCAAATGCTCTAACCACTGCACCACACGGGCAACTATCACCTTATAGCTTTAGTTTATGAATTCATAACTTCATTCATATACATGTACATGTATCACAAAATGTTTTATATCTATTCACTTTTGTTCTTATAACTTACCCGTCAACATCCTTCTCTGGTTTAATGGCATTGGTGACCAAGTGTGAATCTATTTCATTTACAGAATCCAAGGGCAACTGAAATAATGTTGTTTTATATATATAGTCAAACCTTGTTATCTCAAGCTCAATGGGACCAAGAAAAAACTTTGAGATATCCTAGTATTCGAAATATCAAGGAGCAAATACTTAAAGAATAAGTGGTTGCGACTTCCAATCCACTTCAACATATCCATGGTATTCAAGATATCAGTGTTTGAGACACAAAAGTTCAACTGTATATTTTTTAAATAACAGAAAATCAATGTGAAAGGTTGGTCCTGATCCTTGGTATGAATAAAATTTGATGTTCATTTTTGACTTCTAAGAAGAAGAAGAAGAGTATAGGTATCTATATTTATTTATAATTTCATCAAAGAATATTTCAATATTGCATTCAGATGTAAACAGTAAAATAGACAGGTATTAAACTCACCTGAACAACAATTCCATGTATACTTGGATCAGTGTTAAATTTCTCCACAGTTTGAAGAACCTTAAAAAAAAGTGTTGATTTGCAATCTGGATTTCATTCATACATTTTTTTTAAATGTCAAAATACTAAAGACAAGACAATGAAGTAAACCTCTGTCTGTGTAGCTGTCTGTGGAAGTTTGGCATGGGTGGCATTTACTCCAACTGTTTCTGCATTTTTGAGCTTCTGCTTAATGTACACATTAGAATCTTCTCTATCCCCTACCTTAAAAGTTAAACAAATAACATTTTGGTCTATTCATGACAGTAAAAATATTTTATACATATATATAAGTAAGGAAAGAGCCAATACTGTAATCATAAAGTACTTAAGTGGAACACCATTAGCTTTCAGATTCATATTATGCATACAGCTAAAAATATATTTTTAAAGGAACATGAATTTTTAAGATTTTTAATCAAGAATATGAATATTTTAATGTTTTGTATTTAATGCAATGGTTTTTATGGTGCATCAGTAAAAGTATTCCATGATAGGGAGGGTCCAGGGCAACTCCTGACCTGTACAACAGCTAGTCCTGGTAGAAAACCGGGTTTAATCTTCTTGTAGCTTTCAATATCTGACTTGAGTTTTGCTCTTATTTCCCTTCAAATTAAATAATCATCTTATATTATAACCAACATTACATAATTAAAACATTTTCTGATTTCTTTTCTCAATTATAGGGCGAGTTCACCATGCATCAGACACATGCCTTGCTTCAGACAATTTTAATCAATAAACGTGCATCCAATCTGAATGTCTTTGTGTTATGACTTGTATCCTTCTTAAAGAGGCTGATTTAATGATGCATATTTTTATTATCACGTGAACATAAGAATACCGCTAGAATGGCCTTGAAGTAACATCATATATGACATTATCAAAGGGGAGTAACCTATATGACATTATCAAAGGGCAGTAACCAGATTTTTTTTTGATTTTGCAAATTTTTGGGGCTTTAGTGAAAATAAAAGTTTCAAAAGTTTCAAAGAGTTGTTTTTCTTTCACTAGACTTCAAGGGAACGAGTCTATCTTGCATGAATTTTGCAAATGATTGATAATTTTATTAAAAAAAATTCATTTCAAAGTTTGTATTCACTAAAATTTCTGAAAGGTGTTTTTTTTTTACTATTATGTTAATTATTTCACCATGCACCATACATAATTTAACCATTCATGCAACACTTTCTGATGCATGGATAACTACTTTCCTTTTCACATAGAAATACATTTATTACATTTTCAACAGTGAAATACTGTAATTTATTTACTGAATAAAAGTGATATTCTGACACAGTGTGAAAGGATATCAAAATGGTATTCTCACAGTGTGAGAATATCAGAAGTGCGGCAAAACTTACCATTTTCCTTCCCTTCACAAATAGTGTTTAAAAAAAATCCCCAGCCTGTTATGAGTTAATGAGCCATCCTGACAGAAACTAATAATTATACTGCAAAGTTTTTCCAAATATGTCATTAAAAATCCATGTTTACAACGTTTTTCAATCTCGCAATCACTTAGCTATCAACTATGACGTCACAGCCTATGACACAGTGTTACGAAAAGACAGAGGCAAAAGGAAAATCTTAGAAAATGTAATAAAAAGAAAATTCAATGTTTTGAAGATGAATATGGAATTTATTTCACTTGTGAGACAAGATTTTTTTTTTTATATTTTCACTCGTGCTTTGCACTCGTGAAAATATAAAAAAAATCCTGTCCCACTCGTGAAATAAATTCCATATTTGTCTACAAAACATTGAATATCCTCTATGTATAAAACCCAACTGAGAGATGTTTTTGTAGAAGTTTTAAAAAAAAATACAAACTCCACATATTCAGTGAAAATACAAGTTATCAATATATGACAACTAGAAGTTGGCTCTCTTTATTTCTTCACTAGAAGATGATAACCCGGAGACCAAGACGAAGTTGCCATATTACAAGGCATTGCATGGCCTGTCCTATTTAAGGCAAAGTGATGCAACTAAAATCCCTCCACATTTGTGATCAAATTAAAATAGAGTTTATTTTTGAATGAATCCTAAAAATAAATTCATGTCACCAATTTAAAAGCATGTCTGGTATTTAAAGGGCCACCACGATAAAGGCAGGACATTTTCCCGGTTCAATATACCGTTAGTCTCATGCATGGTGAATTATCTCCGATCCATGGTGATTTCTGGCTCAATCACAGAAAATCGTTTTTAATGGGTATTTTCTCAATAAATAGCATAAAACTGGGTCACAAATTCATATTTTAATCACATAATACATGTAAAGCTCCATTTTGATAATATCAGATCAGTAGCGATATCGCTAGAATTTGTTAAAGTATAAGGGTGATGCTTGGAACTCGCAATGCTCACCCTATTTTACTTTTACAAATCATCGAGTAAATTCGGATTACAGATAAAATTTCACGCTAAGATTTTTAACAGACAATGACAACAGTATCAATGAATAAAGCACAGCTTGTATTACTCTGAAACATCCTTTCCACTTAGAATATTAGCCATTTTGTTCCAACTGTGCTATTTTCTGAAATGTTAGGTGGATATCATTCCACGCCGAGACGTTCCAGGTATTGAAACCATTAAGGGGCGTAACTCGAAAATTAGTTTGTCCTTTGGACTGCAAATTTTCTACATAATTTGCAGCCCCAACGACAAACTTTGCTTCAGGTCTGTTTTATTTTAGGCCGTGGTAAATAATAACTTTGATTAACGTTCCTTAGTTCTTTTAAAAGGTTCCCTTCAACAGCTGTTCAACACATGTTCAAGCCGACCAAAAAACTAACCTGCAATTTCATTTGGGGGGGGGGGGATAATCTCATTGGGGGCACGATCGAGCAAAACATTCCTTGACGTTTTCTATAATATACTACATGTATTCTATATATCGACAAAGTTATTTACGGCGCCCCCCCCCCTCCCCCCCCTCGGTTCCTACGGATATGATGAAAAATGAGAAAGCAAGTCGACTGTACTCTAATCACGTAAAAATAAATGCAGTTAAAAATTACTTATTAGAATAGACTTGCATTTCTTCAATTTTTTTTCTTACTCGGGACTTTTTATCTGTTTCTTATATTAGAAAAGATTTAGAATGCCGTGGTTTAACCCTAATGCATTCCAATTTTTTAGTGACTGAGAAGAAATTTTGGTACACATGTTTGTTTTCTTGTAAAGTGAAAACCTACCTGCCCGGGGACGTAAAACCAAGAACTTATTTTCTGTGGTCTTATGTCAACTTGTTATTAACTTACTGATTACCTCCGCCAAGAGTTACATTGTGTTTTGTGTGTTTTCAGCTGTCTGTCATCTGTTATCAAGATATATTTCCATGTAGAGAAAAGATATGCACCCTAGATTTAGAGTGAACTCAATAAACTGATAAAAGCGCAAGCTATGCAAATAGAGGTACAGTCTCTGAAACGTTCTACTTTTCCATTTTTTCGTCCGCACTCCGTTCGTTCACCGCTTGACTTGTGGTCAGGTAATTGTTAATAAAACATTCAATCTCAGAAAGTCGGTAGCACAGGTAGCTGCATGCATGGCCTGTCAATCAAATCAGTAGCTATTGTTTTTAGTATGATTGACAAGCGGTAAATTACTGATCTCGACTCAGGTTGATTTTAAGGGAGTGAACATTGGTGAACGTAAAATTGGGGGTTTAACTGTACATTCATCGTGCATTTGAGCTTGCGCACGCTCACTGTTCACAGTTTTGCGTTCACCGTTCATCAATCGCCTCGGTTCACAAAGCGTTCAGCGTTCGTTCACTTTGCGCTCACCGTACGTTCAGCGTTCACTCATCGTTAAGTCTTTGTTTTCTTCATTGTCATTCGGAGCTCCGCAGTGAAAGATCTTTCTAAAGGGAAAAAGGAACGTGTGCGCAAGGGTACAGGTTTTGAAATTTAATACTGGATTGATATCGTATTTTTAAAATTCGTTATTTATGAAAGATATTATCTGACATTATTCATTGAATAAATATAAAGAAAAATGTTGTTGTAAGAATATTTGAAAGATCTTATTAAAAAGATTAAATAAAGATACGGCAATATGCATATTTCAATCGTGGCAAGATTTTGTTGTTATTCGGGTGACCAATCAATTAAAAATAGAGAGATGAGAGAATAAGTCGATTAACAACCAACTAATAGCAAGATAACTATAAACAAAAAATATTTATTTCTCATGAATTAACATGATTTTCAGTTACAACTTGTTCCGAAGTATATTTTATGATGAGAACTATGTTCATTAGATAACCTTATGGATTAAATACATATGTAATACCACAGTGTTGTGTACATTTGTAGTATGATAAAAAAAAACAACAGTAATTGTAATATACGAACACTCATATTTATGGCAGAGCTGAAAGGGGATCAGATGTTCCATAAAAGTCCCTCACTGTAACTACATGTATATGTTTGCTGTTTGAACTAATTATGAGCCCCCCCCCTTTTTTTTTGAAATTCGATGATGATTCAGTTGCTTACGCAGTATTTGCAATATAATTTAATTAACATTAACTAAGAAGTTAATGAGTTTCATGAAATAAAAAAGTAATAATTTGACAGTTTTAAAATATACATGCACCTATGAAAGGTTAATTATTCAATAAATGTAAGTAATTTGGCAATCATGATTCAAAATACACGTGGGGTGGCGAAAGTTTGAAAAGTGACTGGAAATCCATGCGTCTTGATCAAACCAAGTATTATGTCCGATGTATTTTTATTTTTTTTTTTTTTTTTGAGAAATGTTGGAATCAGTTTACCAAGACGATGTATCAAACATGGGAAACACAGACTTTCACAGCACATCAGGCGCGGATCCATGATTTTTTTTCCGGAAGGGGGGGGGGGTGTCAAAAAAGAATCCAACTAAGAAATAAGTTCTTGACAAGAAATTAAATAAATTAAAAATAAAACTAAACTCCTTTCCCAGACGTGAAAAACCTATTTCGTATATATTTATGCATGTGTTTGTGTGTGTGTGTGTGTGTATGTGGAGGGGGTGGGGGTTGAACTGCTTTCATTCACTTCTTAACATTCACATATACATGTATATATATGATCCTAATAACTTCACAGGGTCCGCGTTTTCTAAGGGTCGGGGGTACAAGATTATATTTTTTTTTTAGGTAACTTACTATATACAATTAACTCCTCAAATTTGTATGAAAAAAATTATGTCTTAATGCATGTAAATATAGGTCGTGAGAAAATGCTTTGTAAATAAACTTGAACTAAGTATGTCAACAGATGGAGAAGAAAGTGCAAATTTATGCATGTTAGTAGGTCATTGCATCTATTTGTGAAAGTGGTTCGTCATGCAACAAATGTGCCTTTAGAATAAACCTTATATATACTTTGCAAAGGAATTCCAAGGGGTTTAGAGTATGTTCTTCAGGAGATATATATGCTTTTAAAATGAAATGGCACTTTAGAGCACGGTCAATTTTCAGAATTCTTCGTTTATTTCTATATTTATTTGAGTCTCACGTTGCAATGGAACAAAACCTAGCCTGACTTAAAAAAATATCCTCTATATATAAATCAAAAATAGGTAGGGGGTTTGAATCCAGCGACAATTTAAAAGTTAAATGAATCTGTTAAGTATCTGATGATGACACACTGAAGTAAAAAAAAGTTATGCAGTCATGCATTTCATTAATTGTCATTTTTAGTGTCTTAATTTAATTTTTTTCTTTGAACTGTTCATTTTGATAACAAGTTGTGTTCTCGGTTGGAACATAAATCAATTTAGACTACAATATATGATGTAAATGAACTAATTAGAAGAGCTAATAATACTCCGAATTCAATGTTAAGCTATAGCATTACTTGAATACAATTAACTCCTCATGCATTTGTCTCTTGGTGCCAATCAATGATGATCTATAAAAAGATAACGTTTTACCGGCGCAATTGAAAATGAACGAGATTCCTCGGTATGGAGTTATTTGTAGATATAGATCACCAGTCGTGTCCCATATGATTTTGATTTTTCTCCGTTTTAGGAAAACTAGTGTTTTTTATCCTCTTTCTTTACACCTCACTAAAATATTCACGGCGGTTGATGAGAAACTTCAGGAGTACGTACTGAACTACAATATATATTCGAGAAGTTAAACTGTGTAAATCAGATGTGGATACTTAAAAACTCCAAGGGACTTGTAAAAAATTTGAAATGCCATTATCACCTGCATATGAAGTTTATGTCTCCCAGTTGATTCGATACGCAAGAGCATGCTCTACGTACGAACAGTTTCTAAATCGAGGCAAGCTATTGACAAATAAGTTGATGAAACAAGAATATCAACAGTCTCGTTGAAAGTCAATATTTCGCAAATTCTATGGTCGATACAAAGACCTTGTCAGCAAATACGATTAATGTATCATTAAGGCGAATGTTGACTGACATTTTTCATACAAATTGTTAGGCCATTATTTTCACTGAATTGTCTACGGATTTTTCCGTTTGCCCAAGTTTGACAAGGAGCACGCGTCGGGTGAAACAGGGGATGCTTACTCCTCCAAGGCACCTGATCCCACCTCCTGATGTTTTAGAGGTCCGTGTTTGCTCTGCTCCAAATTTGTATCGTTTAAATGGACGTTTGAGCTTGATTACTGTTCGATATCTTCATATTTCATTCTAAATTTTAAAATCATTTATGCATAAATAATTTTAAATTAAGAGTGTCCATTCAATGTATTTGTTAAGGTGCTCTGCAGGTTTCATGCATTTAACTCGACCCAATACATCAAAATTGGTGAACAAAAATCAGTACGCCTTTTCAAAAGACGTATTAATGCAAAGAAAAAAAACGTAATAACGTGAAGTGAAAGGCATTAAAAAGCCTTTTCACTTCGCGTTCTAGCGCCTTTTTAGCGGTATTATGCATTTTTTCGCGTTATAACTCTCTTTCACTCCGCGTTATTACGCCTTTTTCACATTATTACGCCTTTTTTCACTTTATTACGCCTTTTCATTTTTTTCCCCGTAGATTGATCCCAATAGGCTTTCGTAAAATTAAGCCATTTTTGATAAAAATACATGTATATTATTTCAAAAGAATTTGATGCAATGAAATTCAAACGAATACAAATACGGAATAAAAGAGAGAGGGTGTCTTATTAAAAAGAGAGAGAACAAGAACAAATCATTAGATAAATTTGACGTGGATAAGAATGTTGGATATTTTAAAAGATTTTTATAAACCCACCAGCTTTTGAAAAGGCGTTATAACGCATGTATACTTTAACGCCTTTTAATTGTTTTTTTTTTTTTACCGTAGTTTGATCCTAATAGGCTTTCGTCTACACCAGAGACAAATAATATGTCCATAGGACATGAATGCCCCGCCGAGGGTATATTAGTAATGCAACATGAAAATTTGTTTTAGTGTATGAAATTTGATGAGAATATCTTGAATAGTTTCTTTAAAATTGAAATTGAAATTAAAAAGTTGGATATAGATGATAAATTCTCGCCAAATTATAAGAAAAGTGAGGTCAAGATGTCTCTGTCTACACGAAACATTTTTAAAATTTTACTTATAA